TTATTAATTAATTGTAAATGATCAAAATGAAATGATTTATTGAATTAATTCTTTAATCACGCGTTGCAATTGTTGTTTCAATTTTATTCATTTAAATTCATTTTATATTTCTTATGGTATATTAAATTCACATAAATAATTCAAGAAACATTCTGGTTGTCTTCGTAGATGTATCTTGTCCGAAACGAGCATAAGCGACCGTGAGTAAAACCTTTGGTTCCAAAAAATGGAATAAAGAATGAAATGAATTGTGTAGGCAATTTGTATGAGCCGCGAAGAATAAGTTGTCGCGACGCTAGCGCACCTATGTCCAGTAATACACATTATTGGAGTACATATAGAAAATTTGGCTTTTTTATTTGCTTTTATTTGCATTAATATAAATGAACAAAAAAATATTTGATTGCCATTGAAGAATATTTAGTGGATAAATAATATTTTAAATCTCCGTGAAAGATGGATTTGTTAGGATCTATTCTGAATTCTATGGAAAAACCACCCACAACGAGCAACAGGCAAAAGGCATTAATAAAAAGTCAGTTGAAATTTAACCTTACTGTGTGCATTCACGTTGTGATTAAGTGATTAACCATTAAGGATTTAACCGTTTCATATTACGCAGAACAACAAGAGGAGTATCAAAAGCATCAAAAAGCAGAATCCGAAAGGCTGAAGAGTTTTCGAAAAAAGGTACAAACGTTGTAAGAAAAACTGTATGTTGTCGTTAATTGACTATTTCTCTGAATTGAAATGATTTTTTGATTGAAATCATAGGTGGAAGAAAAAATAAACAAGTTTCTTCAAGATGATACTGCCAAGGAATACAAATTTCTTCCCATGGATCAGATTCACAGAAGTATAATGTATATAAAGAAATAACTTTTAGACTATGATATTGTTAATGTATTTTGAATATTTTTATTGTTAATGCATTTTGACATGTATCTCTATTAGACACGACGTTGCTGAAGTCGCTAATGTTTGGGCATATTCATTCGGGGAAGAAGGCATTGATCGTTACATTATGATTTTCAAAAGGGAACATGCTCCTTCCGAGGATCAATTGAATACCCTCCGAAAGGGGGAAGAGTGGAACGAGGAAGTAGCAAAAAGAATACAGGAAGAAAGAGAAAAGCAAGTAAAAGAGGAAGAAGAGTCATTAAACTCGAAGAAACAAAAAGATAATTTTGTTCCAAATAGTTACTATAAAGACAAATATCAGCATATAATTGGAAAAGAGGCAGCTTTAGAGGCTGCTAGAAAAACGGAAGCTAATAGTAACTATGGTTGTGGTAAGTAGCATCATTGGGTATCGAAACGCCCATAACTTAAATAATATGTGTCATATTGTACGTTAATGTATATTTTGTAGTACCTAGCGAGAATAAAAAAGATCAACGAAGTATAGAACAAACGTTAGCAGACATACGTGCAAAGAGAAGAAAATTAGATACAAATAATATCCCAACTGACGGTAAAAAGTGAAGAAACGTGATGTAGTCTATAATTATATTGTTTCAATTTACATAAATTTAGTTATGTTTTTATTCCTTTTGTATATATCTGATTGCCTGGTTGTCACAAAGATCATAATTTGTGTCTCCCGTATATATTAAACGTTTATCGGATTATTGTTCTGACAAATCACGCAAACTAATTTTCTTTTTTATACGTATTATAAGTATAGAGGCTTAATAATTTTAATGCAAGATTTTCCATGAATATATATATTATAATAGGCAGTGCTACGTGTTTGAATATATTAAATTTTTAAAGTTAACATATATAATTTATATCTATATATAGATATTATTTATATACAGTATATTTATATTCATTATACAATATATCTTTCAGTTGTATGAAAATATTTTTTGCACAGCGTTAATATTGTTTTCAATGACGCATCATTTAAATATATTCAGTGGATGAGTATTTAGATACAGAAGTCCTAGGTGCGGCTTTAGGTTTCACTGGAGAAATTGCTTCGAACACAATTTGTTCCTTTAGTACTGAAAGTCTAGTAAACTTCTGATTTGTTGCACTTTCGTATAACTCCAGAATTCTATTAACAATTATATCTCTAATATAAGCCGCGTTATCTTGTATAATTTGTCTCTGAAATATAGAATAAAGAAATAAAATTAATGTTAAATGATTTATATATACGCATAGATTTTATAATCGTTACATTACCTCTTGTTTTAATTTTGGATTTTTAAGAGACCTCGTTAGATGTTCTACTTCTTTTTCTATCAATGATAAAAGAGCAGTATCGATTGTCTGCATAAGTTCTGGAGTAGCAATGCTAAGACAATTCTCGATAAAATTAATGCACAATTTGGAAAATTCTAGCGTATTACTGGTTAATGCGATCCAAAAATCGTTCGTTTTATAAGCTTGTGGTACACCGATACTAAGATTATCCAATTCCAATAATAAATTTCGAAGATTTTGACTATTTTGCAAATTAGTCGGGCTCCACGTATCCTTTACAGCATGGGCCTCGAACGTATCGATGTAATTTTTGCTAGTAACTTGTATAACTTTAGATAAAGGGAACCTAAGCTGGCCATCTAGTTGATAACGAAAATCCATGCCTAGTTGCGTTAGCTATAGAATTATAAAAGATATTAAGACTAATGAATTATAAGTAATCACTCCACTTGACGATAATCTGCAAATCCTTTATCATAAAAAAAATAATACAATTTGTATTTACCTGGTCACAGTGACTTCTAACAGCAACGATACATTCCGTTAAAACGCTTAATGATACTTGTGGGACGAATAGCAGACTAGTCAAATGCGACATCAAGTATTTGATTTCTTGACTACACCATACCACTAAGCCTAGACGAGTAAATTAAAATCAATTGACAATAATATTACATAAGAATTATATAAATGATCGTTAAGAATATAACATTTATGACTTACCCGAGGTACAATTTGTAGACTGTGGAAAAAGCTTTAAAAATTCTTTAGCCATTTCTGCTATATTACTGAAAGCAATTGCACTAATTTGTCGTATATAAGGCACAATGGCACCTTCTCTCTTTACTTTTTTAATCCTTGCTTCCAGCATAGTACTACATAATCTTAGATACAACTTACATCCTTGAGCACTGCGATTTAATTGTATTAAAAGTCTGACTATGCGCCGTGCACTTCGTAAACCACCACCTTGTAGCGATTTCGACTTTGAACTCAATTCAAGTTCTTTGATTAAAACATCGATGAGAGCGCGTCCTCTCTCATTAACTTTTGTTTTAATTTCCAATAAAAGAGGTGTCATTGTCGCATCTTTTAAATATGTCCTACCTCTTTCTAAAAGACTATAAGCATCTTCAAAGTGACGTTGTGCTATACAAGAATCTAAATCCTCAGCTACTTCTAACATCCATTCGGGTGGAGGCTCGTGATATTCCAACTCCTCTTCATCGTCTATACCTACAAAAAGAGGAGAACACGTATGATCGTATATCTAATATAAGTAAACAGAATAGATACGCACACAGACACATTTCTCACTTTTATATATATTATGTGTGAAACATTATATAAATCATAATAAAAACTAACCTAATGTATTTGATTCCAAAGACATAGAGCGCGATGGTATAGCTTGTTTTTCCTTAGAATTTGTATTCTTATCTGCATCGTTACTACCATTTTCTTGGGCCAACTTGGCTCTTTTTGCTTGTTCACATTTGTCCAACCATTCTTTCTGCAATAAATAATCTCCTGTAAATCCTTCAGTATATATATATATTTAATAAGTACGATTCTCGTATTACACACTAACTTTACTTGTGGCAGTTGCACACTGAAATACCCTAGTATCTGGAAAGGCAAGTAGTTTAAATGCCAATTGAACTGTACCCAGATCTCTAATATTGACAACAGCTAAACTTTGTAAATTATACACAACTTGCATCTTGTATCTTGGTGGGCCCCTTTTGCCACCATTAGCTAACCAAGAAGCTATCATTAATACATCGTTGAATAAATAAGCATGAATTCTTTTCAATGGCATCCCATCTACTGGATCTAATTCTAGAAGAGAACCTTCGTGCAAACAAACACGACCAGCAATTTCTGCTAAATTCTGTAACGAACAAAATAATTACAAAATACTCATATAGATTTATTCATATTTTTAATGAAATTAATTTTAAACTAACCATTGCACCTTCTACATTTTCAAGCAGTTGAATCAGTTTTTGCTTTTGCTCCTGCTCTTTGGTAATATTATCGTTGTTATTGTCTTGTTGGGTTTCTGATAGATCTTCGAATATAAGGCCAGTAGTTCTCGTAGAGCCAAGTATGCTTAATAAAGAACGTTGCTCGCTTAACAATTGCGACAACTGATACATTTCACTTTCTAAATGAGAAATTTCTTTTGCTGTTTCTATAAATTGCATATAATTTTGATAGACATTGCGCTTCAGCAAAGCAGAAGTATTATTGGCAAGTTCTTGAATTTTTGCACGTTGTTGTCTAAGTTCATCTGCGCCAATACACTGTGCGCTGAGATCTTTAACAACTGAAAAAATATTATTACTGTATGTTAAACATGCATCATTATTAAATACACTGTAATATAATTACAAATAAAAGAAACTATTATTTTTTATACAATCGCAGGATGTATCCTTCAATAAGAGATAATATGAATTAATGACATTATAAATAAAACATAATTAATATAAAAAAAAAAAAAGATAGATATAAAAGTAAAATAAAAATATAGTTATGGAAAATAGATCCCTTACATTTTTCCGCATTGAAATCTTCTACTGCAAAAGTTTTAGCTAAATTTTCTGCCATCATATTCTCCACCTTATTAGTTTATCTTCTTGTAGCTGTTAATAATTTTATTAATTATACTATTGTGTTTTGATGTACTATAGATAAAAAGAATTTATTTTATTTGAAAGATACAAATTCATGTTCACCACTGAAACATTCACTCACACTTTCTCTCTCTCTTTCTCTCTTTCTCTCTCTTTCTCTCTTTCTCTATCTATCTATCTATCTATCCATCAATCTATCTATGTATGTATGTATCTCTCTTTTTCTCTTTCTCCTTTTTTACGATGTCGATACTCGTTAATAGTATGTACAATTTTTTAACCTATCAAATTTGGTTGTGTTCAATATCTGACATTTTTGATACTGAAGCATGCATATAATTGCGCATGCGCGCGTTACGAACTTGTGCAAATATATAAATGTATGTACATTAATGTCAGTAATTTAACTAAAAAAAAATAATTTTAATAATTATTAAACAATTAGAATTTAGTTAATTTTGAATATATGAAAACATATTGAAATATATGTCTAGTAAGAATTGCACACGCAGCGAAAGATATTAGCTAGCCTAAGTTAACGACTACGACGTTTCTGTAACATAGCAAAGATGGCGTTTATGATGTTTATGATGGAAAATGACAGCCGAGAAAATTGAATTCATTATAATAAAAAATATATTATTTTTTCTTGTCTCTCTTCTTTCTTTCTTCCCCTCATTTATCTCTTACTCTCTCTCTCTCTCCCCCCCCCTCCTTCTCTTTCTCTCTTTCACTGTAACTGAAAACATTCTTGTACAAGGACCAGTTGCATGTTGCAAATTGAATATGATGGAAAAGCTAACAATTTGAAGAACGGTATGCGCGCTATCATCGTATGACATTCAAAGGAAAAAAAAGATAATGTGTATGCAAAGTTTAAGGGGAAAAACATTTTTTAAATCCTTGATTTTGATATACGTTAATAACAATAAATTCTTCGAATCGTTCATTCTAATATAGAAATATGTATGAAACGTATGTCATGTATGATTTTTCAACGACAATATGCATGCATCTATCAAGGCGAATAAACTGAAATACATTGAGAGAGCATAAATATTATAGTAATGAATAATTTTTAATAACGATGAAGAGTATTTACATATTTACAAGAGCACATGAAGACTTAGAAAGTAAAACATATATATCTATATAGGGATATTAACGAACTGCTTCGTACGAGAGAAGCAGAGGAGAGTTTGTACGATATGCAATATCATACATCGAATCTATTATTAAAGACCTTTTCGTTCGTCTTAAAGAAGAATTTGACTTTTTTAGTCCTTAGAAAGATAATATAAAAAAAAACATTACATAAGAAAACGGCACCGTAACAGCGGAATCGACCTACGAAATTTCGCTTCTATATTATTTTAACAAACAATACAACATCACATATAAATATCATATTTCTGCTATCTCTCATTACTTACTCACTAACATATTATGTAAGTAACATTTGTTGTGTCGCTATTACCAAATGCAAAATGATAAATCATGATGCGCATAGAAAAAGTCATATAAGATGTTAAACGATAGAGTACGATCGACACGTAGTACAATATTATAAGTTATTATGTTATATACGCGTTTTTCAAATGAATCCTTAAGACGAATTTCAATAGATCGTCTATCTTAGAATTAATTTGTATTTCTATGTGTTTCTTCTTATCCGAGATGAATGATAAAACGATTTCGATATAATAATACATCTCATGTGGTTACTTAACAACTGCTTTTTTTCGATTATTTAAGATTTGCATAAAGGAATTAGAATCGATACGGTATTTGTATAGAGGAAAACCAAGAACTGACACGAAAAGAAAATAATTACAGGTTACAGGTACGCACACAAATAAGTACCTATAATTTCGATGATTTAGTTTGGACCATCGTTTAACAGCGGTACGAAAAGAGGAATTATTTTTTCTTTAGATATGTCGAAGGAGAATATATGGATTTCGATCGCTCTTTTTTTTTCCTTTTTTTTTTTTTTTTTTTTTTTATCATTTTTCACGCGTGCATGTTAATACATTTAGAGCCTAAAACGTATAGGTACGTAAGTAAGTATATTATTATACTTACTTCCACTTATCGCAATGAAGCGCGCACGGAGCCAAAGTTAAGTATTTGCTCACGCGATTAAGTATATATATATTGTAATGATACTAATAGATATAATGGTATGTGTGGGATTAAAGATTGAATACGATAAATACAATGGAATGACAAATGTATCTCGGCGCAGTGTCGTTTATATTACTATAATATAATATTTTCCGACTTGACGCGCCTCGATGGCCAGGATCTCTGGGGGTTGACGGTGAATTTTGTTATTATCGCATAAAAACGATTCCTATGTTAAAGATGAGGAGGATTTTCCATTTCAGCAAAACTTTGGCTGAACATCCTAAAATATATATCGAGCTTATAATGTTTCCTTTAATCATCGATAATAGGAGGCGCTAGATTGTTCTTACCACTGATCAAATCGTTGCGAATATGACTTTGTGCTCTGGTTTCGCGGCTCTCCATTACAGGAGCTTTCAAAATTCGTTCGTCTCCTTCGACGCTTTCCTCGTTGCTTTGAAGATAAACAGCGGCTATCGTAGCCAAGCATTTAAGCTTCATGTCGCCTCTTTTAAAGTGTTTGCTGGCAACTCGAAATTCCAAACCTAAAACAGCTGTTTCCAATCCTCTCACGTCGATAGCTGTAATATGCGGACCTTTCAAGTAGAGCGCGTCGGCCTGTCAATGCGATCGTATTCGTTATTCGATAGTAGTTGTTTGTTATTAGTTGTTCGTTATTAGTTGTTCGTTATTCGTGGTTCGCTTTTCGTTTTTCGTTTTTCGTTGTTTGGTAAAAAGAGGAAAGTAGTGTTTTTTCAAATGAATGCTTTTGAAGACTTACAGGCTCGCCGTTAATGAACCACGTCAATAAAGCAGCTGGCTTCGAGGGCGCGGATGTACAATTTAGACGGACAACGTCGCCGACCTGATATCTCGATCGACCACCTGATATTAGTGGACCTTCATTCGGTAGGACTGAAAAGACAAAAGACAAAGGACAAAGGACGAGGATCAAATGCAAAACGCGAGAGAAAATAAGAGAAGAATCTTTGGAAAAAGTTGACTCACCGACTACCGTCATGTCGGCATGCTCGGAAACGGTTTGAAAAGCTGGCGCTTCGGCCGACACCTCGCATCGATACCTTCCGGAACTGGAAAGATCCACATTGTTTAAAACGACGGATCTTTCCGTCGAATGATGCGCCTGAAAGAAAGTCGATAACAAGATATTTATCCCAGCAATGCTCGTCGTTCGCGTCGATTCGCGATTAGCACCGATCAAATATATTACTTTTAATAATGCGTTTATTATAATAGTTATATAGTAACGCACGTTCACATTTACGCCGGCGACGGGAAATATTTGTACCATTGGCTCGTCCTTTGGAACGTATCGATAAAATTCGTGACCATCTTTGTACCACTTCACCGAATACAGCAGCTCGTTGTCCAGACTAAAGTTGCACTGCATACGAATGGTTTCGTTGAAAACTACGTGTTGCGGTATCTGTAGCGTCGTCATACGAAGGGCTGTTATATCTGTAACGAACGTGTATTCATTTACACGTAATCAAATAAATTTTCCTCAAATATAATATATATATATATACTTGCATACTGCAGATAATATAGGCAAGTATTTACCTATGTATACAGTAGATAAAAAAATAATAAATAATAATAATATTGTCTTTAATATCTCTCCCACTTTTTCCCTTTTCAACCCTTTTCAACCCTTTTCAAATGAAGAAAAACAGAAAATCAAGTCCAAGAGAAGAGATATTGCATATAGTTATATCGAATAAGATACATTGAAGTAAGATTTGATCGTTTTATTAAAATATAGGTGGACTAAAGGAAGTTTCGTCGAAATCCAAGTGAATTAGAATGCTCCTAAGCAATTAAGGATTTATTCGCGAGCGTTGCGAATCGTTTTACAGTTTTTTTGTATTATGTTCTATTGCTTTTCTACTTTAAATGACGTCCTTTTCTATCTTTTCTATCGTAAATGATATATAGAAAAGTAAACCGTTACAAGCAGACACCGTATTTCGGGGAATATCGTGTTATTGTGTGTCGACGATTCTTGCATGTATCATGTTAAGCTTTTACATGTATGTACAATCATGAAGAAATAACTTGAAAAACTTTCAACATTTTCTATTCAAAACAAGATTTTGTTCGAGTACAATTGATATCTTTCGTGAGAATAAAAAAATAAATATTAACGTCTATCGTTCGATCGTTGAAATTATTTATATACGAAAACATATATAGTAATAATCTAAAGGAAGGATGCTTCAACGATAAACGATCGATTAGATCGATTAAAATTAGTAATTAGAGAAAACGTGCAAACAAACCTGAATAAATGTGTAATAGGGAGAGAAGAATGAATCTCGAGGGTAGGACCGTGCGAAACGAGTCCACGTAGCGCAGCATCCTCTCGCGAGTGGTTCTCGTTCTCCAGGTCGGTGAATCGTTAAACCGATCATGGACTTTTCCACAAAATAATCTTTCACGATACTCTTACTCTTTCCATGGCTCCAAGGTGGCCTTTCCCTTTTTCGTCTTTTCTTATTCTTTTCGAGGACATTAGCGTCTAGATGAGGCACTTTCTCGGGCACCTTCTCGGGCACCTTCTCGGATCGATTCCAGTTCTCCTGAATTTGGATGGAACACGGAGGATCGTCAATAAAAGACTTTAAGTGTTTCTTCCTCCTTCGGGGTAGCACATAATTTTCTTCCTTATTGGTCAGCCCACTTGACTAATTGAAAATCTATATACGTATAGAGTTGCATTACACAGGTTTCCACCTTCCGCGGCAAGCAGTCGGTACTGCGGCATCGGCGGAGCAGCCGCCGAATAGAAGAGGAGGTGGTAAAGCGGGACACGCGACGACGACCACTGCTTTTCCTTGTTGGTGATGGGGCGATGGTGATGGGCCGATGGTGATGGGCCGATGGTGATGGGCCGATGGTGATGGGCCGATGGTGATATTGATGGAGTGCTGGTGGTGGTGGTGGTGCGTCCGCCACCGCCTCCACTGCTACCGCTACCGGTGGCAGTTGATGGTGGTAGTTCGCGAAGCTAGCGACGCTTCTACCCGGGAATAGAGAAAGAGAGAAAAGAGAGAGAGAGAGAGAGAGAAAGTCGGCTTTTGGTTCGTTCCTAGGCGACTGCGCCGTTCTCCAAGTCGATGATCGCTGCAAAATCTTCCCTCTCTGTCCCTCCTCCTATCACCAGGGTGAGAATGAGTTTTCCTATATCGCGCGTACCTTCCTATATAAATACATATGTAACTTTACCTTTACTCGAATATAGCTTCTTTTTTGCTCGTATATACGCGCAAGTAAATTGAGCGGACCACTATCATGCGTCTTCGATTTTTACTAATAAATAACTAAATAATAACTAAATACCTATGTTTAATATTACGTTGAAATAATTATCTCATTAAAATAACGCGATTAACCCTGTGAACGCGCGCACACGCATAATTTTTCGTTAAAGATTTCAATTTAAGCGAGTTAAACGCAATTATAAAAGCAATTCTGATGTGAGAAAATGCAACAATTCTACATAACTTTAAAGACATATCATAGCAAGACAATGATAACAATGCATTAATTATAATCAATCGCTATTTCATATTATTGTTAGTAAATATGAAAAGTAGATTTGACAAGTTGAAAGTCTAAACGATTATTGTCGCTTTTAGATCGACGATAATGATATACTGGTCGAATATACAATGTATACCTAACGTGTAGAATGGCTTTTCGGTGATGTTCACTTAGCTATATGTGTAAGTACGTAGGTAGTTATGTGCGGGAACCTATCTACCTAAACGCGTTTCCGCTATATCCACTTGTTGCAAAAATGATGATAAACTCGTTATCGAATTTACTCCTCGTATTATTATCTATTTCCTTCAAATCAAGTTGCATACATAATACACCCGCCCCCTATCGTCCTACTATCGTCTTGATAAAACAAAATTTCGTCAACTTTAAAGATTAGTTTCTACCTGTGGATTATCTATCGTCTTGCTAATAGTCAAAGCTTTATTACGCAAAAGGAACTTGGATCAGGTTGAAATTTCATGCGAGTGAAAAGTAGATTATAAGACAATTAATAGATGTTCCTCATTTAACAAGTTCAAATTTTTCGGTTAGGGCAATAAAAATGACTCGACTATTTTGTATATACTACATACCCCTTGTTAGGCTGAGGGTTAGAGGAAAATAGGGAGGGCGTGGAGCGCGTGTGCGAAACAGAAAGCTAAAGAGAAGAGAGGTAGATCGACTAACGATCCCCTACGAGTAATTGGGGTACCAGTTGCACGCGTCAGGATGAATTTCATCCCCCGAAGGCAGCAGCAGCAGCAGCAGCAGCAGCAGCAGCAGTCGTCGTCGTCGTCGTCGTCTTACGAACTCTTCCCACCGCGTCCGACTATGATTTCGTCCACATAATACGATTGCTTCTTCTCGCAATACATCTAAACAATACTTTGTGCCGAAAAAGTCATACAGATATATTTAGTTCGATTAATCGACTAAAAAAAAAAAATGCAAATCAATGCATTAAACGCGTCATCATCGTAATTATTTGGTTATTAATTAGGTTTGAGAGAATGGACGATATTGGTGGTATAGGCGGGTAGATACGCGTATATATAATATCTACTTATTTATATATTGCTGCCTGATACAAATATACAAGTATAAATGAAGAATCAAATCGATCTTGCTAGATTTTCGATAGATTCTAATGGAATTTCAAGGATTTCGCAGGCTCGGAATTCTTTGAACACCAGGTAGAAGCGGTACGCAAGACGCATGCGCTTATTTATTAGCGCGACCGAAAATCGATATTCGCCCTCTCGTTTGCTCCCTAGGCTAATATTTCTTTCGACTTGATCTTTTCGTATTCGAAAATTCGTCAAATTTTCTTCTGCTTACACCCAAAATTCATCCTAGCCCATTCCTCTCATTCCGATCGTTTGCGATGCAAAGTTGATATCTTCTCGGGTCTATCGAGATTTCATTAGATAATTTGGAGAATAAATAAATCCATATCTAATATATCTAATATCGTTAAATACTCTATGCAATATAATCGAAATGACATGGTAGAATTTTGAAAAGTATTACCAAGTCCCCAACCTTCTTCCTAGAGTCGATTTGATCAATTGGAGTTGTTCGTTCGAACGACTGGATATACTACTTACATATGTAGGTATAGTTGCGCTCGCAGTTCGAGTCTCTCGTGAATATCATCGTACGACATAGTTTCGCGCAACCTTCTTATTCTCTCAAACATTTTTCGATAGACGTTTCTCGCAGTAGATTCGAAAGTAAGAATGGCAAACGGTACGGCATCTATGATATACCAAAGTATTTAATAATTGCTTCGATATTTTGGTCACCTCTTAAAATGATTAGAAAATACTATTCTATGACCATTACAACCATACTTGACTTTTTTTTTGTAATTCAACGAGCAAATTTGGGAGCGATCCCAAATCTACATTTTCAATCGTATTGAAAATCAAAATCAATGCATTCTATTTTATTGATATAATCAGCTTGAAAATAGTCTCTTTGAAATCAAAATAGATGATTTCTAGTCCCGTTTAAATTTGGTTCACCCCTTGATGTATATTTTATGTAAGTACATATATATACACTATATGTACACTAATATGAGCACAGTTGATAGGTACATATAGATATAATAGGTATATGTACGCAGCGTATATGTAACATACTTGCAAAAGTATAAGTAGTCGTGTTGCGTAAGTAGATACTCGAGGAATATTACAGATGCTTATGCGAGCATGAAACCGGCTCATAAAATGTGTGGTCTTTGCGTATATAGAAAATGCCATGACATGAAACCATTTTCGATGAAATGACCTGCATTTAATGGAACGAGAGGTGCGCAAGAAAATGTTCGTCGCAATTACGCGCGCATCGTGTCTTTGGAACGATTATTTGTTTTTTTTTTTTTTCAAACTTCATCCAAACTCCGTTGTTTATAAACGTTTTCTCTCTCCTCGTAAATAATGCACGCGAAGAAACAAGTAGGACGTTGCTTTCGTTTTCAAATGAAACAAATCTATAAAACAAACAAAAAAAGCATCCGCAAAATGATAGAACCTCCGTCTTTTAACTTCGTCATAGCTATATCGTCGCATTGTGACATACTTATTGTTAGTACAACATACATACATACGTCAACGAAAAAATATCCTTTTTTTAATGACAAACTGAGCCTATGACGCACATTACATGAGACAAAACGTTCAGAAATATCCTTGTAGAAATGATAGGCGCAATACTAGAGAGCCAGTCGAAATCTAATTGTTATACGAAAGCGACACTTCTTCCAAGGATAAAAGGACCAACAGTTTCATAGCTATATAGGTAATATATATTAGCAACAAATAATGATTGAGCGGCGCACTTTACACGCTTTCTTAATATATAATAATTAATTATAAATAAATTATTTATTTGATTCATCGTGAAACATAATCACTTATAGTGGTTCCTTCCTGGCTATGCGACTTTTACGAATGAAACGAAACTTTGAGTAGGTAATCTTTCTTTTTTCTAACAATATTCGAACAAAGAACGATAACAAAAGTTGGCGCAAAAAATGTAAAAGTAAAATAAAGAGGATCCGGTACGGAAGGAAGAAGGAAAGAAGGAAGGCAAAGAAAAGAAAAGAAAAGAAAAGAAAAGGAAAGGAAAGGAAAGGAAAGAAGAAAGACCGAAAAGAGAGAGAGAGAGAGAGAGAGAGAGAGATGGGGCAAAGACTCTGTGCATTTTCCGTTTGGAAGACACAAAGTGGGTCATCTCGAGAAAAAGTTAAGTCCGTAAAAGCGACAAATGCAAAAGTAAAACTATGAAACGCAGCGAGAAAAGTAGGGGAAACGAATGGATAGACGATAAGGAAGGAAAAAGAAACGCTTCTCGCCTAAATAGCTCGATATGATTATGATTATGATAGTAGAGATACTTGCGATTCTCGACTCGTTCTCTCATCAAATATAATACAGTGCAATCTTTTTCTAACTCGTTAAAATGTTTCACGCATAAGTCGTCCCCTTTGATATTTCTTAATAACGATAATTACAAAGATGACAATATATAAACTGCCATAGGATAAAATTATTCATGAAATAAATCAAGCAAACGATTTTCTTGAAAATTATATTTCTTTGAATAGGCGGTATCTAGTGAAATCTATAGAAGACGCTAATCGGTGTAGTTTCCTCGCATTCTATCATGGAAATTGGGCAGCTGCTAGCTAGCTCTCGTAGATTCTGTCTCTGGTTCGCAGGCAATCAGGCACGCACGCACGCACGCACGCACGCACGCACGCACGCACGCACGAGGAACAGGAAAATATATACGAGCAGATGCTCGTGCCCAACTAATTGCCCGCCCTCGTCTCTTTCTTTTTTCTCCCTCGCGAACGCGAACGATATTTGAAAAAGTTTCCCTCGAGCTATTGCTTAGATTAGAACAGCGCATACTTAGCACGATTATCACGAATCTAACTTCCGATTATTTTTCAAAAATAATATTAAGTACAATTTATTATAAAGATAACAAAACAATTGTCTAAACTTAAATCGAGATCCAGCAAAGAGTTCAACTTTGTTCAATATTGAGTTTGCATAATTGCATATTCTTGCAAATGGGCTCAGTAAATCTAAGATTGCAATAATAAAAGTCAACACGGAATATCGAAGTGTGACGTGGAGAGACGCGAATTGAATAAACTGTAACAGTGTGGGACATTCGATATGACCATTAATAATTTGAAAGAACCTTTTGGGTAATTGTACGAAATGCGGGTTCTACGAGATGCGCGAGCTAAACGAGGGCAGGAAATAAAAGCGCTACAAGAGACTCGTTCAATCGACTTGCGCGTATATACGGGTAATAGACGTATAAAGTATAGTTCTGCGTTAAAAGGATCTTTAAAGTGCTGGTAAGAACTCTAAACGAAGCTACTGTTCTCCATTAGTCCGAAGCATTCACAATTCGCGAGCAAGTTACGCTATCGCGAATCATCGAGTTGCGCATTAAATATATTTATTTGATACGAAGAAAATAGATGCAGACGACATTAAGATAAGTAACGATCGATGCATATTAATCTAATTATTTAAATGTGTAACGGCGCACTATTCATTCGTCCTCGCGCATTTTTACAAGTACTACACAACATATTATCATATATAAGTAGAAAGCTACCGTCGTCAAATAACAGAGATGCAATGACATACGCATGCGTGAGTAACAAAGCGCGTGCCACAAAACTTACAAATCTCGTATTATAAAGATCTACGAACAAACCGAATGTGCGTATCCGCGCTTTTCGATGCATGCTTACGCCTTTTCCTCGACGCAACTTTTCCATTTAACAAAACATTAACTTAACTCGATTATTTCCCATTAGGTTGGTCTTCTTAACTTTAGCACGGAAGGTTTTTTTCCCTTCATCTTGTCGCATCAACGATTACCTTCAACCATATATATATACATGCATTTATGGAACTATACATAGAATTGAAATAAAATAAGAAACAAAATATCGAGCTCGGGGATAGGCGTGGTCGTCGAGGTACCCTACGCGTTGCTACTTATTGAGGAAAAAACAAGTAGAACTAGGAGAATACTATGAGCAAAACTAGAAATTGCAATATCGAGACGGTGGTGTGGTTGAAGGATCGGAGGAAGAGGTGGCGGCGTTGGCGTTGACATCGGCGGCGTTTGCGTCGGCGGCGTTGGCGTCGGCGGCGTTGGCGTTGGCGTCGGTTCCAAAGGCAAAAGCCTTCTTGGCGACCGGTATTTCCGCGCGGCGCGTGTCCGAGCTCGCACGACTTTCGTCGTGGTTAGCAGCGTGCGTTATCCGCTTGTCGTGCTCGCAGCTTCGTGCTCAAGACATAGCTCACGGAGAGAATATTTTTTGGCGGTAGACCGCGCACTGGTGCAAAGTGCGCGCGCGCGCGCGCGCGGTCACCTCGGTGTCAGTTGGCAGCAGACAGATAGGCAAAGAAAAAAGAAAAGTCTCGATGACCGACGCTCCCGTTATCTTGGTGGATGTCAAAGGGCAACGTACGACCTGACTAGAGCTGTGCCAGGGCCGTGCCAGGGCCGTGCCAGGGCCGTGCCAGGGCCGTCGTGCCAGGGCCGTCGTGCCAGGGCCGAAACTGGGCTCGCCTCGCGCTGGCGCGCGTCTCCTTCTTCGAGCGACGTCGCGACGTCCTCCTCGTCATCGTCATCGCCTCCGCCACCACCAACACCACCACCACCACCACCAACAACAACAACAACAACAACAACATCATCATCATCATCATCATGGATTGGCATAGCAAGCTCGGACCGATCTTTCTCTTATTGCTTTTTGCTTTCGGCACCGAGGGTAAGTCCGTCTATTCGCCTGCCTCGCCCTAATTCCTTGCTCTTCTTTCGTCTGTCAAGCGGTTCTTTGTCGAGCTTGCCTCCGACGGAGAATTCAACTCGACTCTTCGAAAAATCGATTTGTTTCAGCTCCAATTCTAACTCAATTTACAAGGACGATTCTGGAAATGTGTAGATACCCATGTGTACACATTAATTGACTCGTCAAATTTAGAGAGTTGAAGAATTCTGTTACAGACAGATGTGGTTCGTAACGAGAATAATTGTACGCCCTCTATTCCATCTTTCGACAAATCAAACTTTTTCCAAACTTTCAGACGAGTGTCATACATAAAATAGTGCTTAAAAAGAGAATTAGGTTGAAAAAGCTATGCGTGTGGGCGTTGTTAGAATGATTCGCGAATAATGATTGTTAATTACGAGCTCGAGAAGAATGGCGAGCGTATTAGCGGGAATCGAGTATGCGCGAGAGACGATAGACGCAACGGTAGGTGCGAGCTCGAGAAGAATGAGCGGACCGGAGAATGATCTTTCTCGTCATCTTTCTCATCATCGTGATACTAGATTCGCGATACTAGATTCGCGATACTAGATTCGCGATACTAGATTCGCGATACCTAACGAAACCTTAAGCACATTTCCTCTATATTCCACTTACGGATATTTGTTCTGTTATATTATAATCGTTTACTTCTCGTCTAAATACCTATTTATTTATCGAATATCCACTTATAAGGGTCGTAGCACCGCTATTATCTCGATTAATATTCCAGGAACATTACGGGTTTATGACTGTATGCGCACGTTTGCATCGTCTATTTCTTGAATTTCGATGCGACTCGCGTCGTTGCGAACATTACCTATATCTTTACACTGTTCCTGTCTTGAGAGCTTGTTTTTCGAACAGGATCCTTATTATACGCGATTTCAACGATTTTAGAGCGAATTAATAATAACTCTAACCCCAACCCCTATATTTTATTAATAATGGCCACTTCCAACTGGAAGCAAATTACCTAGGTTTGCCATTAAATCGAACATTTTTCAATTAAAAACGATTTTGGCCAATTTAAAAGCAGGAAAGCATTCTCTCGTCGTCGTGTCCGGTCGAAGGCAGGACGGTCGAAGGCAGGACGGTCATCGGACCATCTGCCGTACGTTTCAAATGCGCGCGGTGTACCATGACGTTGGAAAAAATAATTTTATCGCGTCCGTCTCTTTTTCTAATATACGCTTTCATATATGCGTTTCAACAGATATATAGGTTACTTTATCGTTGATTTTGTTCTGACACATAGCAAACAAAAGAAAAAAAGTGAAAAAAATATACAATACTCCGCGTTCTCTCTGCGGACCTAAGCCAGACAGAAAATTGCCGATCCTAAGCGTACGCCAAATAATCTCGTAAAGTTTGTAGGCAATGCAATCAACGGCGTGGACTGGATTAAGTCTTTTATACATTGAACGAGTAGAGTATTTCTACTGTGTATTTATTAAATAAACGCTCAAGGGTTACTGGCCGTTTACTCTCGGGGGAAACTAAAATGGAAAGAAATAGGGTTAGGTGCACCGCAAGAGCATAGAAACGGCGTATGGTCTTTCCTCTAAAAAACTCGTTAACTCTCGCTAATCATCAGTCAAGTTCATAAATATATTCAATCTCTGATATAGATTGGCGTCGAATCAATTTCAAACGCAAAAACCATTTAATGAATCCGATGGAAAAGCGACAAAGGGATAAGGTTTTGATCGAGGGATTTTTCAACGTCCGTACATCGAGGGCTCTCGCTAGAACCTTGTTATTCTTATCATCGACTGCCGTCCAGTAGAATGCCAAGAGAATGGCTAGACACTAGTGTCGAGGGGATAACGAAAACGCGCCAACGACCCATTCTTATACGCGACTAAGAAAATCTACCTATATACTCGCACGCGAAAGACTATAGATTTAGCCGAGGAGAGGAGCGATCGGTTTTGCGGATGCGTCGTATCCGGTAATTTGACTATTGTCGATTGTATCCGACGATACTACGAATGTGGGTGGGTGGGTGCACGCAAGTAGAACATTGCGCGCGCGACCGGCCATCCTGTTGCCCTCCACTATTTTAATCAATTTATTTCGCGAAAGAAACATTGGCAAAAAGCAAATTCGTTGGTTCCTTCGGACGTTCGAGTCGTTGCGCGCGAGTATCGATTTCCGGGAAATACCTAAAAAGAAACGAAAGATCGTTTAACTGCGACAGAGTTTCTTCTCGATCGGGCAACGATAATTTACGCTCTCTTTTCCTTTCGTATGTATGCGTTAAACCGTCATCCGAGAAGGAAGTCTCTACGGATCTCGTGGCTGATCCCTTGAAAATGTCGATCAGCAAATTCTTCCCTTTCTTCCCGTGGCAAGGAGGAGCACGAGGTGTCGGTCATCATAATGGATCGAGGATGCATCATAGTGGTTTACCTTATAATTCTCAACTCTGCGTCTTGTCGCCTTTCCTACTACAAATGTGTAGTACTACTATGTAAAGTAGTTTCGGACACTTCTCTATTAGTTTATTTGGACGTACCAACTGCGACTAATGCAACAATCCAAAAATCGTCGTAACCTGGCGTAACCCTGACGCACGGGACAAACGTATAAGTAAGGATTATCGATATAAATATAAATATAGAAAAATACTCGGCTCCGATTTATTTAGAATCCTGTTCTTCGATGGGACTAAATCGTTTCTTAGTTTTATACAAAAATTCTTCCCGATTTTTTTTTTCAAATAAGATAGACGAGTACCAAATCTTTTCCTTTTTTCCCTTTATTTATTCTCTCAGGGTGGATGTGTCGCGTGAGATGCTTTTTCCTTCTTTTCCAAACTTTCTCAACGATCGTGAATCTTTTAATAGAAAGCCTACAATATATATTTGCTTTTGGCATGAATTACGACGGTCTTGCCGGTTACGCGTGCCCTATATCCCATCTCTTTTTTTTTTACATGCATACGCAAAAGATATTCGCGTGAATGTATGCATATGCAAATCGCTCTCTCTCTCTCTCTCTCTCTCTCTCTTCCATTTTATCTCCCATGGTAAAAATGAAGCAAAACCGTGCTCAAAAGTCTAGTTAAAATGTTAGAAGAATAGTCGGAGAAACGAAGCTATACGTCGTTGTTAAGGTTTCCCGTTTTTACACGTTTGGCAAAGAGAGAGAGAGAGAGAGAGACAGAGAGAGATAGAAAAAGCTCGACCCTTTCTTTCTTGGGATGTCGCGACCCTCTCGCGACCCTCCTACGACCCTCCTACGACCCTCCTACGACCCTCGTGCGACCCTTGTGAAAACTACACGCGACACCGCTTGCCCTCTCCCGCCCTAACGCAGCCAAGAGGAGTTAGCCGATGAGACCCGCAGATGTTTGGCTTCGCTCTTCGACCGGTATACGATTACTTTGTAAAGTAATATCAAAACGAAATTAAGCGACAGAGCGTCGAGACGACAGGGACTGCAACCCTGACGACATAACCCTGACGACGCGACGCCAACGCTTTGCTATCCTTTTCTTAGGAGTAGCTCCAATTTGGCTTTTTATTTCCTATCCAGGAAGTCCGGTCGATCGAGTTTACATCGAATCTATTTTCGAATTTGATGCTTTCTTTTTGCAGACCTCCCCTCGATATTTGCCCTTAAGGTAGAGAGATCGATAGTCATCCTCGCTCTTTCTCCTCGTCGACCGCACGAAATTGCGTTATAAGCGTGTATAATCAGACTTTCTTTAAATTAAGTACGCGTGATCACGGTCATTTGGCAGCCGTACAAAAATCTACTTTTACACGTACCTATTTATCAAATCATTTTCATTTTGTCCTAATATTATTATCCCTACATTTTTATAGAAAATAACATTATTCGAGAAAAGCAAAGCTTTTGGAAAACTGATCTCGTTGGACGAAGCGAATGAACTTTTATCAACGTTAAGGACTAGAAATACTTACCGTTGGTATTCTCGATAATATCACGAGTTTAAATCATCGATTCTTAACGACCAATTAACTGGCAACATCAACGTTACCGTCCGTTGCTGGACAAGCTGATTAATGCGTTTCTCAAATAACGACGAAACGGTAGAAAAATGGCATTGTTTTCCGGTGACCTCACAGTCCGGCGACGATTACTCATACCTATTAACCGTTCGTTAGTCGCGGGGTCTTTTTTCTCTTCCGACGCGACACCCCTTTTTATCTCTAACTTCAACGCATTTATTAAGACACATTTTCTCCCGTTCGAATCGTACGTATTTTGACTAATAAGAAAAAGAAAATGAATGAAAAGAGAAAAATAGGAGGATGGATAGATAGAGGGGTATAACGAGTGCGATACGCATATAAAGGTATGATTCATTCTTGGAGCGTTAGGAATGATAACTCATGCATATTGAACGACAGGGGTTGGATCGTTCCATGAGTCAATCGAACACGCGCCTCTGGCAAAAAAGCGAGTGGCCAAGCTGAGGCAATGGGAAGAGTAAGGTATTGCTCCTGCTTCTCGATCTCCTTCCTGGCTCGATTGCTGACTCGATTGCTGACTCGATTGCTGACTCGATTCCCGACTCGATTCCTGACTCGATTCCTGACTCGGTATCTCGAGTTCTCGAAGAACAAGACGCACACGTTTTTTCCTAACTTCGACTCGCAAAGGGCGTTCGCAATTGACGATTCTGTTTTCGCGATGTTCTTTCTATCTTCATCTTGCTTCTCTGCAACCGTAATAATAGCATACAATAATGCAATCTCTCTCTCAATAAGGTCAAGTTGAGATAAAGTTCATTCGATTAATATCAAATCAGACTATTAATCGTTGCGCGCTGGTTCACAATGTATCCTTTAGAAAAGAATATGCTTATCCGCATATTGGGTAGACACATTTGTATGCATTTGTATGCATTTGTTTTAGAAGTAGGAGCGCTCAGGATGCTGGAACTTGTTATACCGCAATACGTGGTACGGGGACAGAACATACGTCTCGAGTGTAGCTTTAACCTGGACGGTGAGATACTCTATTCGGTTAAGTGGTACAAAGATGGCAACGAATTTTATCGATACGTACCTAGGGATATGCCACCTGTATTGGTTTTCTCACTTCCCGGCGTTTCCGTCGACGTAAGAATCCTTCAACGATTTTTCTTCCATACGATATGCACACACACACACACACACATCTATATATATATATATATATATATACATATATTTGTTCCATTATTATTGTGTTTCTGTCATTTAGATACATAACTCTACCGAACGATCGGTCGTTCTTTATTCCGTTAATCTAATGAGTTCTGGGAGATATAGGTGTGAAGTCTCGGCGGAAGCACCTTCCTTTCAAACTGTATCCGATCATTCGGATATGATGGTAGTCGGTAAGTACTTCAACCACACATTTGACCTAACAAATATGCGTTTCTAGACAGAACGCTTTAACGTTTTCTTTAACGTTCCTAGACAGAAAATGTAGCTACTTTTATTTTCAGCTCTACCCGAAAATGGCCCCGTTATCACGGGAAGACCTGGCAGACGTCGGTATCAAGTATCGGACGTCGTGCGATTCAACTGTACGTCGGCTAAATCGAAACCAGCCGCCATGCTCAGTTGGTTCATAAATGGCGAGCCCGTAAGTAAATGAAATTTCTCCTCGATGAGAGAAAACGCAAGCGTGTATATTCCTTTGTCGATCAGGTCGATCCACAATACCTAAGAGGACCTCATATCACGGAGGTAGACCGCGAGGGTCTAGAGACTGCCGTACTTGGTCTGGAGTTTCGTTTGCGAACGAAGCACTTCAAGAAGGGTGACATGAAGATCAAATGCCTGGCGACGATAGCGACTGTATATTGGAAATCGAACGAGCTCAGTATAGAGGGTGAAAGGCCCTTAAAGATGCCGGTAATGGAGAGTAGGGAGACAAGAGCGCAAGGCCATACACACGCCGAACACATTTTAGGTAAAATCTGATTTTCAATAAATATCATTTGCATCCTATGTTGCGTTATTAAACATTAACTTGAAATAATCGAATATATTCTCTATTCGATATATTGTTGCAGCCAGTGCAAATATCAAATCCGTAGGATCGTCCCTGTCGCTGCTAACCCTAGGATTGCTTATACTCCGGTAAGGCCGAAGGATACCCTTACGTATTCCCTCCTACCCCTCCTTCGCCGCCCCTGTGTGTGATACCGGATCGCTGTAAAATTATCTACCAAATGATTGATCTTTTTTATATTTTTCTATCATTCCACTTTTATTGCTAGCGAAGCTAGTGTCGCATAAAGTGTCTGTCGCTTTTTAATTAAAGTGCATACGCGTGCATACTGATGAAACATTCGTAAAACCGATTCGCGAAACCGATCGTAATATCGATTAACACGATCGATTAACACGATCGATTAACACGATCGATATTTTCCCAATAAAGTCACAAAGACTTTATTGATTTTATTATTGATAATCATTCAATCCGCTAGATAATTTGGTTTTTTTTTTTTTCTTTTCGTATTTCTACTCGATAATATGTAGTTTCACCGATGTCTTCGTCAGGATATACTAACAAGTAAAAATTATTTTCGCTTGCAAATTAAAAAATCATTGATATTTGGCAAGAAAGAAAAAAGGCAAAATATAGTGTATGGTGTAGGAAGAAATCGGGCTCGAACCGATTAAGAATTCTTCACATTATTTATATGCAAGTAGATATATCAAATCTATGAAACTAACATATGTATTTATTCGTAATCAATCTGTCATTCAACTCGATCGCGTTCTATCGATCTTATCGCGAATGAATCATTTAATAAGACAAAACAAATAGATCAACGAACGATCGATAGAATTTTCATTTTTCAGATACAAAACAGGGTGTATCCGGTCATCCGCTACATGTCAAAATAAGTCTCTTTCATAATCAAAAGAGAACAACAAAATATTACTCTTTGTTCGTCGACTTATTTTGACAGGTAAAATCACCCCAAACTCGATCGAACCAACTGTTCACCTGTCCAGGTACACTATGTACGTTTATAGACACGTACTTTTTTCCTATTTACGTATAATTGCGTCAGAGTTTGTAATCATACCGTCGTTATTATATTTACGATTAAATTTCTTACTTACGATTAAACACTTTTCATATACCGATCGCCAGGCGGCATGCCATTACACGTTCCAATGCATGTCACAATTTTAATCGCCATTCTAATCGCCATTCTAATCGCCATTCTAATCGCCATTCTAATCGCCATTCTAATCACCATTCTAATCACGATCACACATACTTGTCAAATAAATAAATCTTATAATTGATCATCGGACTGTAAGTCGATGTTTATTCAGTTGTTAAGCGTTAAGGTCAATTTAACGAGTAAAACCATTGTCCAAGCTGATTCATTTCTCGTGGTTTAAGACCTTGGAAACATTGGACGCTTGAAGACGTTGGAAAAATGAACAAGAAGAAAATCAATTAACATTGCGTTCTCTAAATTATGGCTTTGATCATTCTAGTCGGTAAAAATCACTTAAATTATAATAATGTCATATTTTAGGATGATTGTAAAGTATGTAAATCTAGACTGTGTACGACTGTGTGTACCAAAGATATTCCAATTTTCGCGATCACAACATTCCTAATTGTTAATTATAGTCGTAGAATATGTAAAGATATTCTATACCTTTATATATATATCTCGTATAAAATTTCATATATGACGACGGACGACGAGAATATTTTGTACATATGTACATAAATAAAACGTACGTTATATATGTATGTATAAGATTAAAAGGTAAAATGATGTTAAGTTAAGAAATAGAGAAAAAAATATCACTATATTACTGATCTTTCAAAGTACTGAGATTTATAAAAAGAAGAGAATTCTGTCCAAATATCTCTTGTATACCAAGGAAATAAAATCATAAACAAAAAAAAAGATTCGACTACAAAATATCATTTCTATTACGTCGATGGTAACCTCGGAAGGAGGGAAATCATAGAGTACCAGCATTGTTGATACATCTTTCTGTAAAAAAAGCATGCTTTTTAAAGTGAAACTTATTGAAAGGTTTCAAGGGTGATTTGGCAAAGAAATTAGATATCTTTTGCTCTTTACGCGTTTCAGGATTCTCTATTTCTTCCCACTCTACGGTTAATGCATTAGATTCAAGAATCCTTTCTGCTGTAGACCAACTAAAACGAACAATCTGTGGAAAGCCGAATACGGAATCAATGTTGGCTAACAACCATTTCTTAGTTACCGGATCATTAGGATATCCACTGCCATATTCACTTTCGTTAGAACCTTCGCGAAATTGCCACGCACGTATTGCATGATCTCTGCAAACTTTGGCGCAAATACTTGCAGCACTAACGATCGGATAAATAGAATCTGCTTTTTTTGCAACAACGATATCTAGCTCGGGAAATATTTCTTCCAATCGAGATTGATATTTTTCTGGCTTTCCAACTGTATCGACGTATAATTGTTTCACATTTACACCAGCTTTAACAGCCTGCTTGATTAATCCAATTGCTGAATCTATGGATAGCTCGTTTAAAGATACTTTACTACGACGATACATACTATTGGCAATGACATTAGGAGATATCACATCCACGGCCCATCCTATTTGATCGCTTGCTTGGCATGTTTTATCAAAAATACAGTCTCTTTGATTTTCCGTTAAGCTTTTTGAATCTGCACAACCTAAGTCTACGAGTAATTGCTTCTGGGACAATGGTGCATAAGCTATTCCGTATACCATAGGACCCAATACAGGACCTCTTCCTGCTTCGTCTACGCCCAATTGGCACGGTTCATCGCGACAAACATTTGGAATCTACAAAATAATACTAAACGATTATTTGGAACCGTTTGGACCTGGGTAAAAGATCTGAAACTCTTGTAAAATTATTGACCTTACCTCGGAAAAATAAATGTCATTATTGCTATGGTCGATCTTTTCAAAGTAAGACGTCAATTCCGTTCTGTTTTTTATTATTACGTTTGCCTCTTCACTCGATTTATCCATTTCTTCTTCAGCGTTCATCTCTGTTATAATATCGATTTTGAAACTGATAACTTTTGTTGATCTAACCTCAAAAACAAATCAAAAAGACGTTCGGAGAAACCGCCAAAGTTTTTACAGTACATGCAGCGGCGGACCCTAGTGGCGGACCCTAGCGACGGACCCTAGCGACGGACCCTAGCGACGGACCCTAGCGACGGCCATTGAAGCAATAACCAATGGTCTATACATTGGTCGGTACATTAGTCGGTGCATTGGTCGGTACATTGGTGGTCGTTCCTTTACATTTCGCCGAAACCTCTCTCTCTTCTATTCTCTTTTATCTCTGTTTTCAGGTACGAAAGAAAAAGGTCAACAGTAATTACCGATTGATTAAATATCTAAGTTCACTGTTTCCAGATAAAAGCGACAATGAGAAAATAATTGAAGGAAATATACTACATTAAATAATTTCTTGATAATACTTAATAACAAATAATAATACAAGAAGAATAATCATGAGTGATAAAACGTTACTCGATATTGATGACACGATATTGAGACAAAATTTATTATTATCCGTAAGTAATCTATCTTCTAAGTAAAATAATTCTTCACATTTTTTATGTTGATCCAATAGTGATATGCCAATTTGAATTGCAGGAAAATAAACATGAATCTGAAATAGACGAAATATTAAAACAAGGGTTTGAAGCAAAACCTAAATCCATTATTATTCATCCTTCGCCTGGTATGTATTTCTTATATAGGTATAAAATCTTCTATAAATATCCGTAAACATGTTTATCATGTAATGTTGTAGGTGTTTGTATAAAAACAAAAACAGATGCGGGTGAAAAAGTGTTTTTAAATATATGTACAACAAATAAAATACCTCCACCAGAAGACATATCAGAAGAGACGTTAATTTCTCTTTTAGATCAAGAAACACCTGCTTATTCTATACCAATGAGCATTGGCGAAGAGAGATTAGAACCTGATAAAGGCAAAAATTAAATCGTAATTTTGCAATTATTAACAATCCATGTTATTTTATTATCGCGCTCAAAAATATTATTCTACAGGTGGTACCTTATGCATGACTCATGATGTTGCGATAAATAAGAATTATTTTGAAAAATGTCAAACTCAAAATTATTTATGGTTATTTACAATGACCGTTATAATAGAAGGTGTATCGCATAAATTTGCTAAATCTCTGGATTCCAAAACTTGTATTATTCTGAAAAACCGAAAAGTGAATAATTTAATTTTCTCCCCTTTATTTGCTAAGAAATTCTACTTGGAAGATTGATAAGAATTTCATTTCCAATAGGTCATGGGTACGATTCAACCGCAACGTATTGATGATCGCGAAGCACGTCAAATATTACCACAGTCAAAAAAACCATTAATTCAAGAAATATCAAATACATTAAATACAGATCGGTCAGTTACTTTGACGCAACTACAAAATAATTGCCAAAAACCTGCGACTAACAATTATGTAATATTAAAAGAATCATTGGAAGGAATAGCAAAACGTTTAATTGGTTTATTTCTTATACCTAAAGGAGTAAGATATATATTTCATTCTTTTTTTTTTTTTTTTCTTTGATTTGTATCACTTATATGATTTGTAATTTATGCATTCTTGTTTTCCCTCTTAGGTATCTAGCCAAGATTTGAATGTACTTCTTGACGTCGATCGCATTATCGTTACAACAACGAATGAAAACAAATTTGCATATGATATATGTATGCCTTACACTATTAATTTGAATGAAACGGAAAGCTTCTTTGATAAAGATTTGAGGGTAAGTAAATATAAAATAGACATTGTTGAATATGAATATATTAAAAATTATTTTTTTTATCTCTATGCGATACAGATCTTACGATTAAATATGCCAATTGAAAATATATAGTAGAAATGGTAAGATAAAAAAAAACATTAAGTTCATATGCTTATCCCGCATTCATTCATTTCTACGATACAATGGATTAATCATTTAAGTTACTGACAACAACATTCGTTGAAATCTAGATATCTAATGAATATTTATCATGAAGTAATTTCTTTTTTCTCGAAATACAAAACGCACACACAAAACTGATTGATTATTGTGTATTCATTATATTTTATTTGAATTATCTCTCTCTCTCTCTCTCTCTCTCTCTCTCTCTCTCTCTCTGTTATATTAAGTGATATGTGCTTTGTTACATTTACATTCTCATTATACAAGTTTAAGCTCCACTTGAGAGGAGGGGGGGGGGGGGGAAGATAAAATTGAAAATAAAGATGTTGTTTACTGCTGACACTGTTCAAACTTTATCCTATTGTGCATCTTAATTACTGAATATAACATAGTTATATAGATGTGCGCACATCTGAGTTATTTTTATTCTCATAGCATTATATCTCTTTTCTACAAATTTAACGCCAAATTGAATCTGTACACACAATGAATGTTTAATTCATTTATAAAGCTTAAAATTATATGTTATTTACATTTTGTTCATAAATCAAAAAAAGAGTCTAACGACCTGACTGTGACAATTCTGAGGTGTCAATAATTGATTTTGTATATGAGAAATATTTTGCAAATATTTGAAAAAATCAAAAGTTGTAAGACAATGTTTAATCTTACAACTCTGTATAAAATGTTGGCCGTTCGATACCTATTATAGTGAAGACATTTGGCAAAAGGTATACGGTATTTATACCAATCATAAAACAAGTTAGATATTTATAGACTAGATCGGTGAAAATTTTGCTCGTATTTTCCAAATAGTTTTCAGTTTTCATAAGCTCCTTAGAATTGATTTTAAGTATGGCACATATTATAGTATAACAGAAAGATTTACAAATAGCTTTAGTTCCAATGACGCTACAGAAACCCAATATCGTCCTAAGAATCATACATCCTAACATACGATAAGATGGCCAAATAATATCATATGGTGGTGGAAGAAGCGGAAGAGAAAAGGCCCCTGTCTTGTAATTTAACCATGCTCCTGCATGAACTCCAGCAGTTACGGAAACAACCATAGTCGTATCACCGCTACGAGTACATATTCCATGTATATATTAAATAATAAGAAATTGAACTTATACATGTATAATGTCTCTTACCGAGTCGGTGTCCATTTGTCGCTAGATGGATAATAAACCACAGCGGTAATGCTAATTAATATTAAAAGTATTAAAACCCAGGGATTTGTAATAACATAATAATCTAAAGCATCTACTAAAGGTATCAATGGAATCATTAGCACAATAGCTAGTAATAATCCTGCTACAATGTCCAACACCGTATGCATTCCCAAATAAAGTCGACTCGTGCAGATAAGCGTACACCTAGAAAAAAGAAGATGATATGTTTGATAAATTATTAAAAAAGATTAAGCGAGATTTAACTCAATTTAACATTTACCAAAGGAAAGCTATTGTAAAACCGATAGAAAACGAATAGATGTATCTATTCATTGTAAATATTAGTACACTAAATGGAATTGAAATTCCAACCATAGCATGAGTCGATGGCATCCCATATTCTTGAGACCATTTACTTTGTAATCTAACAGCTGGTGGGCACGCCGGTCTTGGCCAGCAAATAATGTCTTTCAATGCTTGTCCTGCGATGTAAGGACTAAATTATGCATACGTACGTATCATAGAAATAGAATGTTTTGTTTATTTGTCAAATATGTTAAATATATTGTGTATCTTACCAATGCTCATAACAATAGCCCACACTAAGACCACTCTCCGACCAACTGCGCCATCAATATTCCAAAACCAAAAGGGTATAAATGCAGAATAAAATATTTCATCTCCTAATTCTGTACCGAATAAAAATAAGTAGTACCAAAAACGATTCTTAATAATAAATGCTGGAGATTCTAATTTCATGAAATAGTTATTAGAAGGGCATTCTTCTTTGCTCAATAATTTATTTGTTTTAGTATATCCATTTTGTTCCTTATTATCGGATAACCTATGAAAAGAAAATGATCCACATAAATACATTAATATCCGTATTAATTTAAACATTTGATATATTTTCTTACCTATGATTCTCGGAATATTTTATTTTATAATTTATTTCTATTCCAAAAAACTCTTGTACATTAGCGACGAGATGTGGAGCCTTTAAGTACTCAATAATTTCAAGCAACCACATTTCGGTAACTTTAATATATGATGTTTAGCGATTAAAGCACATTGTATTGTTTCAAAGTCTAAAATATTAAAATACTTGTTTTTAATTTTGAATACTAATAATAAGTTAGTAACAATTGTTACCATTGAGTATCAATTCTTTTTTTATTTATTCTTTTCATTGGGTTATTTACTTAAAACCAATTTTTAAACAATCGTTTTGTCAAGACAATCGAATAATTGCAATAATAACGTCTAAATTACAATGAATCTACGTTCGAAGTAAAAAAGGTGAATCGTTAGTTAATCGAATTAATTAATTTTTGAAAGAAAAATTGCACTATTGACAGTTGAGATAAATGTTTTAAAGCAACGATCAACATGACATTTGGCTTCTATATGGATGCGTGTCTTATTTGATAAGTGTGAAATTAGTTTTTTTTTAAGAGAGCATAACTAAAGTAAGTACAAATGAAGTACTTACTTACCTGTACGTGCACGGTGCATGATGCACGATGACACACGCATCCACTCACTCACATTCTATCATACTAAATAATTCAACGGATTAACTAAAGTAGTTTATTTAATAATAAAATATATGTTAACCCATATTTATTTTCTATAAGCACAGACTATTCGTATATTATGAGATCACATCCCTACTTCACTCTTTTTCCTTTACTTAAAAGAAAAAAAATTATATACATATATATATGTATAATCATTTGTCGATTAATTACGCAATTACGTTATCTTCCATAGAATGATTGATTATTCGGTATTAAGATACGATCGTTGAGAGTATTTTTATTTATTTTAGCTTGAAATAGAAACTATCCAAGAAGAAAATTACAATTTTTCATATGGCTCAAGAAAATATATGCAAGTAATAAGGAAATATTAAATTGCTTTTTTATTTTGTATACATATATAATTCATATTAAAAAGTTATAATGGTAGGAATTTGTACATACATAATAGTATGTATGTATAGAGCGAGAAGCAATCTCTCCTATTTGCAAATGTTCTTTACTATCTTTTACTCTCTGACATCCTTTTATTTACGTATATGTAAGCACGTACAATAAGTTCGAATGTATAAAAAGAAAAAAAAGTTGAGAGATATCTTTTTTTGATAAGAATCTTATGGTTCATATACTCGTTGCCGTTGTACGCGTGATATTTTATCGATTATATCGCGAACAATGATATGTGGTACATAGCTTAGGATATACTGATATACATGTTTCATACACAAAAATGATCGTAAGAAATAACTCTCATATAGAAGATAAAATTTATATTAAAAAATTTAACACGGTCTTGATAAAAAAATCTAAATGAATAAATTTCTAGATAAAATAATAATTCAATCCAGCGCATGATAGATTACTTCTCGATTGTATACGTACATACAGTTAACGCATGCATACGTTTTTACACTTCTATGCATCGTGTACCCATTACCCCGCTAACAATACTAACGTATAGAATAATCCGCATAGGGGTTCGCTAAAAATAATGTAAACATTTGTTTATCCATAGTGCACATTCAATATCTTAAGACTTGACAAGGACTTATTAAAAATTGTCATGTATCACAGAAAGGTTCTGGTTATCTTTAATTTGATCGTTGATCGAATTTGTTTTTTAAGAGTAAAATACTTGTCCTATGATAGCAATATTTCTAACCGCCGATGCTACATCTGGAATATCCGGACTAGGATGTACGTGCAACGAAGACGTACCTACCACAGCCGCGGCAGCAGCAGCAGCAGCAGCGTGCGCGTTCATTCTTTGCACGCTGTCGATATAAGTTTTATTCGCTTGAGAACCTAAAGTACTATTAATATTATTTATATGAGATTGCGGCAGTGTTGAAATAATAGGAGGTATGACGGGTGTGTTAACGCAAACATTTCCTTGAGATTGAGCGTAACTTTGCGTATTTGGAGTTGGCGTCGTAGTTTGAGTCGGCGTCGTAGTTTGATAATTATTGTACTGGGCTTTACATTTTTTTTCGTGAACGAATAAGCTGCCAGAATGGCTATAAGCTGTTCCACATATTTTGCAGGCATACGGTTTCTCTCCTGTATGCGTGAATCTATGCTCTTTCAAATATTTTAATCGTCTGAAAGACTTGCCGCAAGTTTTGCAGTGATAATTAGCTTCGCCGGTATGCGTAGTAATATGCGCTTTGAGAGTACAAGATTTAGCAAAAGCGGCGCTACAAAAGTGACAAACGAATGGCCTATCACCGGTATGCGTTCTTTCGTGATTAATGCAATTTGAATTTGACGTAAATCCTCGTCCGCAATATTTGCAAACATGAGGTTTATATCCAGTATGCGTTCTCATATGAAACATAAGACCTGTATTTTGTCTAAAAGTTTTACTGCAAATATGACACAAAAATCGTTTGAAATTCGAATCTTTTTGCTCTTTCGTACGTTCGTGTATTCGCATATGTCTTTGTAATTTGATTTCTTTTTCAAAACTTTTATTACATTCTAAGCACGTAAAGTTTTTCTCTTTTTCACTATTTTTTCGATTCCCTTTGCACTTGATGGCGCAACTACATTCCTTACCGCAATTGAAACAATTTTCTTCTTGTACTTCGTGAGTATTCGTCTGATGTTTCAATAAGGATTTTTTCGTATCGTAGGATTTACCACAAATTTCACAGGGGAATCCTTTACCTTCGTTATCCGAATCCAATTCTTCTCTAATCCAACTATTAATTAACTTAATAGCCAACTTGTCGTCCGGCGGTTTTTGAGGTATAGAACAATCTTTATCCTCGTCGTGCCCGTATCTGTCTCTATGGCTTTTAAGCCTATCTTGACGAAAGAATTTCATGTTGCAAACATTACAAACAAATTTTCTTTCGTCGTGTTTTAATAAATGACGCTGAAGAGATGTCTCCTTTGTATAACACTTAATGCAATGCTTGCAACGATAAACAGGTATGCCATCAAAAGAATCAGATTTATTATCGCTATTAGACTCGGAACTGGACGTATAGAAATGATTTATTTTTTCCTCCGTGTCCGATATTTGTTTGGTTAATTTTTTGATCCCATCGTCGAGACCGTTATCCAATGCCTTTCGATCATATAAATTTTGATCTTCTAGAGAGAGGATAGATCGATTATTCATTTCTAAAGATTGCACGTTGTTCTCCAATTTCCTTCTATCTCTAATTTCCTTGAGTATCGAAAACACTTCCTTGGGATTGACTCTTTTGTGTACATTCAAATGTCGTACCATAGTATCTATTTTCCTAAAACTTTTATTACATATTTTACACGGTACTAACTTTGATTTTTCATTAGATCTGTGAAGTTTACCGTGTTGGAGTAATTCATCGATATGAAAGAATTGTTTGTTGCACTTTTGGCATTGAAATTTTGCTTCGTTATGAGTTAAAATATGCCTCTCTAAGGATTTTTTACTGGAATAACATCTGTTGCATTGAGTACATTTGAGATTTAAATTGGAACGCGTAGCGGAAACTCTGACTACCTTATTACACGCATTTTCCGCATTTAAAAGCACATCCTTTTCGCCATTGTCGTATTTTGTATTCCCATTTTTTTTTATATACTGTCTTTGTCTTTCTTTGTGATTTCTCAAATTTTCCATTGAGGTAACTCTTTTGAACATCGTCAGTCTTCTCGTACGATAAGCTTCTCTTTTAACAACAGGTACCTCGTGCGTCGATCGTTCTAATTTATTATCAGTATCTGACAATATTTCATTGCCAGTCTTAATATTACTATCGGATTCTTTCAAGATTTGGACGTTAGTTTTGTCGTCTGACATAGAATCTTGGTAACGTAAAAGAGAATAATTATCCTCTTCTTTCGTTAGAAGTGGAAAGTGTTCTTTTTCGGTTTGACAATATTGATCCTAGAAATAATAATAACGGAAGATTGATATTTCAAATCAATTGTAAAATATAAATACGTACTTTGACAGTGTCAGCTTTTTTGATCGCTTTGCCATATAGTTGTCTTAACTTGACATCCGCTCGTTGACACTGTTCTCTGAGTTCGTGAGCTGCATTGACTTTGAGAATGCATTTTATACAAATATGCTCGGGTAATCCGTCGTCTTCGGCAACCTAAGGCAATCTTAAAGGTCTTTAGATTCCGTGGGCTTGTATTAAATGGTAATAATGTAAGTAGGTAAGAAATATTGAATACGACTGACCTCGATACCTCCGCATAGCCATAACTTTTCGGACAAATCCTGGACGCTCTTATCTTTCGTAGAATTGTCCTCGATGGAAAAGATAGGTTGATTGTCGTTGCTCGACGATAGACAAACACGGCATAAATAATTATCTCGGTTTGTCATTATTTTTGATCGTATTTCTTTGCCGGCTGTATTTATGCCTTGGCCCTATTTGAAATGTTCCTTTTTGGAAAATCCTTCGCGGTACGAATTTTCACGAAAAAGGCAAAATTTCTCGTGACGTCATCATCGAACGTGTATCGAAGGTATATCGAATGTATATCGAATGTATATCGAATGTATATCGAATGTATATCGAATATATATCGGATGGATATCGAATGGATACGCGCCGCGTGTGCCTTTTTTTTTTTCTTTTTTTTTTCTTTTCACATGCGGACATATTGACGGCAACTTAGTATAAAAAAAACCTAATTGGTAATTGGAATTTACAATAAGAGTCCATTTTTATTGGTAGGTCTATGAGAAAGACGAGCATAATAAATAGATTAAAAAAGATTACAGAGATTTGTATGAAAAATTGTAAACGAGCCGTAATAGAATGTGCTTCTAATCCAATCGGGTCGAAGTCACATTTCTTGGATTGTTAGACACTCTGCTGAAAGATATTCGTTGTAAAAGCAAAGTGTAAGATGAATTGAACAAAATATTGAAAAAATGAAAAAGAATGATAGTTGTATATAAAATGATCAAAAATTGGGCTCCTCCTTTAGATCGCGCTGATCGTTCGATGCTCAGAGGAAGAGTAAGTGCGCATGCTCGAACTCAAGAGTGGTTCCTAGAGGAAAGAGGAGAGAGACGTGTCGGCTGAGTTGGGCGCCAGAGCTCCGCGTGGTCACTTACTACTTGTCAGTTCGTTATTTTAGAGGATCTACGATCTAAGGATAGAAAGGACGATGGCACTGTTTCGTTTTAGTTCCAAGCGATGTCTTGAATTACAGGTAAGTCAAGAATTTTTATCTCTCCTTACTTTTTCTTAAGTTCATTGCTAAAGAGTTATGGGTAAGATTAGGGTGATTTAAATGATTCATAACGTTTCGGCACGTTATCCATTTCGGTGCGAAATTCGAACGGTCCGTGAAAGTTTAGGTTCGTCGAGGGGGCATTGACGACCGCGTTCTTGCCTTCCCCCTTGCCTTTCGAGAGACCGATCGATTCACCTTCCTTCACGAAACCAAATTTTTCCTTCTCGGAAACAGTTTGCTTATTTAAGTACAGGAGGAGGGCGTCAGGGCTTTATCGACCGACATTATTTGCCATTATTTGCCATTAATTGCCGTTATTTGCCATTAATTGCCGTTATTTGACATTATTTGCTATTATTGGGCATTACGATAATTCTCGAGCTCCTATTCGCTATCTCTGTAGGGAGAGATCTAAATTATTTTTAATCGAGAAAAGACATTTGCGTGAGAAGAAAAATGTGCAAAGTCTAGTGCCGTGCGAGCTATTGAAAGAGGGTGCCCCGTTATTACTACGAACGGCCGATGCGCCCCAGTGTCAACAAATTTTTCCTGACATTTCTATATTCATTATTATCCAAGTAATACGTCCAGCTTACCGACCAGGAGCGTGCTTTCTCGTTCGATGTCGCGTTTCCGGTTATGTAATATGACTCTTCTTGACAATACCTATTTTTCAAACGTTCATTTTGCATTTTAACGAACAGACAAAGAGTATTTGGAAACGTTGTATTAATGAGCTCGAAAGGAAATTCTTGTTTAGCCTTCGCGCCAAATTATACACCAACACACGTTCGTTCTGTCTTATTATATGGTTATGCACATATTGCAACGAATAAACATTCGAACCTATTGTATAATTATCATTGAGAATAATGGAAAATTTGATGCGTATTATCTAATCGATTAAAGTTTCTGTCAGTTATTTTATACGCGACAAGGTAGAAGAATGTGGAACGCAACGACTTCTTAATTTGTCTATAAATACAAGACTGGTTTTCCTCTTTTTTCACATTCTTTTTTCATTAACGTTATTTTTCCTCTTTGAATCTTGAATGCTTGTGTTTATTAAAGATTTTTCCGAACCTAAATTTGTTTAATCTGAAATCTGTTTAAAAGATTGCTTATTTCATGCGTGCACGAGATATTCTAGAATTCGACTAGAACACAGGTGTTCATTGAAGAAAATAAGTACATACATATATATAATAAAATGGCGATGTCGGTTTGGTAAGACATAGATAGCTAAGTTTAGCGACATTTCGAGGTCAAAAATCTGACCCATTCTCTTGATCTACATTGATCGTGACCTATGTCTAAAAATCTTTCGTGGCTAGCACCTGTCGAGCGTGCCTCCCTGATCAATCCTATTACGTACATAGAATTACAACGGTCGTTTTATGGATATGTCAGTAGGACAAAACAATCCTTTCTCTCGTTTCGTTTGACTAAGGTCTTTGGCAAGATAACGTTATTTCTTGCTCATTATAAACGGCTCGTCTGTTACTTAACAGACAAAACATCAGGCATATGGTATTTGAATCGCGTAACGAATTATTTCAGGGTTGCGCCTCTTCATTTTATACTTGAGACCGTACTTTATTTTTAGTCGCGCGTCCTAAGTATAGTTTTATTTTCGAGCAAAGTGTATGAATCCTGTTTTCACATCCCTAACAATAATTATTATTTTTTCTATATATGTAGTAGATATGTATTACGTTTAACATAAGTTAGATTTACGCTACGTACGAACAGTTTGGATTTAGTTTGCTCCGCTTGTATGTGTGTTTTATACTTACGTATGTCCGATCAGTGATCAAATTTAATCGCGCTTTTGGGTCTGAAACTCTTTTCCTCGCATTGATACGTGCGAGGCATATACATTTGAGGTATAATAAAGAGCTCTCGAGACCGAACCGTTAATACCCTCCGTGGCATTCGTTTTAACGCCGTTCGGCGATTACATGACGCGAAATCAATTAGATAATTGCAATTCGCGGGTGTGCGCCAACTGGCAATGCCCTTCAGAAGCCACTCTTTATTACGTAATATGCGATACTAAGTGTTATCAATCGCGCGCGTCGAGTGCTTTATCTTACTAATAATTAATCAAACATGAATATACATACGGACGGATGGACGGACGCACGCACGCACGCACGCACGCACGCACGCACGCACGCCGACAAAATTTACAATTGATCGTACATGGCGTCGATGCGTGATAATCTGATTAAAAGTGCGTCCATACGTGACCGTTCGGACAAGATTTTCGATTAAAGAATTTAAAAAAATTATCAAATACTTAACATTTCTTTTTCTACATACACTTTTACCTTTATAAATATCACTTTGTCTTCGTTGTATAAATAAAGTTTCTATATCTATAAATAATATTTCTCATTAAATTGGTAACATATTTATAGATGACCTGAAAAGTAAGTGCCGGTGAAAGTAAGTATGCGCGGAGAACGGACAATCTTCGATTATTTCTCAACGAACGACTACTGTTTATTTAGAAGACTCTGTATATGCAGCTGTTGCTTTCATTACGATGCAAAATAATAATTGCAAGGAAACGTTTCCATCGCATTTGGTAGTAAATAAGTAGGTAAGGAAATATCTTTAACTGACAAATGTCGTTTCGGAGGAAATCGCATAAGTGAATTTTCAATCGATAACGCGTTACATGCAGCTCAGTAATATACAGCCTTAAATAACTTACAATAACTGAACAACTTATAATGAGAAAATGATTTCCCATCCAAATCCAACGGCTGCGCAAAGTAAAAGAAATCGTTATATACATTGGTATGTATAGGTAATATAAGATAATTGAAAATGTTTAATTAGCGCGATAAAGTTCGTAATGACGTTACGAACGTCTTAAGGTTGGTGTGAACGTCAGGCAGCAGATGAAAGCTCGTAGTTGTTCCGCGTGGAGTATCGTAATCGAGACGAACAGCGGAAAATCTAAATCGACGAGCAAATAAATTCAACTTTATTATCGCGCCGAGTCTTGTGATAAGTTCCTGCCTTCTGTCACACCTGCCAAAGCGATAATTCTAGGTAATCGTGACGATGGGCATTTTATTACAACGTTATTTCAAACAATAGATGGATTCTTTTGCAAACGGTCAATGTTTGTCTATTGTTGAAAACGAAACCGTCTTCTTACGATACGCGTTTATGAATCTGATTGTGTTATTAGCTACATTATATTCATTTACTTGTACGCCTAATGCTCGGTATTACGTTCAATTACATAATATAATAAATTCAAGCCATTTTATCTTTGGATCGGTACTGGCCAAGTTCCAAACTCATCGTTTCTCTAAATATAATGTTGTAAGCCAATCTATAAACGATAGATAATGCAAATTTGATCGATTGGTATAATCCTATTTGATATTTCTACACAAATTATAGATCGTCTTATGTAATAAGTAATAGCTCGTTGATAAAAGCGTAGCGTGAAACGTAGAGCGATCTTTGAACTGAAAATTTTAAGATGTAGATGATTTAAAGGTGTAGATTAGCTGACACGATATTTATTTTAATGACCGAGTTAGCGTTCTTAGCCCCCTTCCCCTATGTTTCTTTATTTATGTTAGAAAAATTCACAGTCGGGATATTAATTAACAGTCGATTTACCATTTGGTTCGCTGAAAAGCATAATGAAAGAAGAAGGCAACCTAACGAGCGTCAACGTCACTCGAGAATCACGCGAGTGAGTAAAGATAGAGCCAATAGTTTTACTCGATGGCAAGCGACGATAGTTTTTTCAACGATCGCCGGTGTTACCACGAGGCATGCATTATGATAATGACCTTTAATGCGAGACCCCGTGACCTCAAGGCGAGTCTCCATTTTATCATATACCAAACGATCCATCCGATTTATCGGATGCACATATCAGTAATAATTCTACGCACGTCCTATCAAGAGATTCCACATTACGGTAACGCTAAATTCTCTCTAACGAAATGACACATTTCCTTTACGAAAGGATGCCAAAAATGATGAGTGAAAATACAAACAAATTGTTTAATATTAACAATCGCTTAATACTATATATTATAATAGAGCTACGATATTATTAATATAACTCATTCGTAAAAGAATAGGACAAATATAAAATAGATTTTTTTCTTTTTTTTTTTTCTTTACATTTCTCTCCTCCTTGAGAAAAGGAAAGAAAGAGGGAAAAGATATTGGATTAATAGTGGAGATCGCGTTAATTTCTCATTGTCGGTAGAAATGATCTTTCCATTACGAAATCCTGACGTAGCAGTACGGAAGTCGAATCGTTCGCATAACGATCATTAACTTTCGACGTACGACACACATTCTTTGCGCGTTTGTGCATGTCCCCTTTTACGTAATTCTGATATGTCATAGGAAAAGTTGGACAGTAAAGATATCTTTTAGGAATTTTTGGATTGTGTCTATGATTAACACACGCTTTTCACATGGGCTTTTCGAAATAGAAAAGAAATATGAAAATAGTTCATTATCTCGTGTTATTTCAGAAATTGAGCAGCACCGTTACGAACTCTGTGGCCGTTCGATCGCTAGCCGATTCTTCGACCGACCTGAGGAAAGTCTTGTCCGAGAAGATACCCAAGGAGCAAGAACGCGTAAAGGCCTTTCGCAAGAACCATGGCTCTACCAAAGTTGGGGAAGTCACCGTCGATATGGTATTAGGATAAACTGTTATACGAGAGAGCGGGGAAGATAATTAGTATTAAAATCAATTCTAAATAAACTTGAATTAAACCTGTGTGTCTGTGTAGATGTACGGTGGCATGCGCGGTATCAAAGGATTAGTTTGGGAACCATCGGTACTAGATCCCGAAGAAGGTATTAGGTTTCGTGGCAAATCCATTCCGGAATGTCAAAAACTCCTTCCGAAAGCTTCCGGAGGGGCGGAACCTCTACCGGAAGGTCTTTTTTGGCTTCTGATTACCGGAGATGTTCCAACGGACGCGCAAGTCAAAGCGATCTCGCAGGAGTGGGCCGCGAGAAGTGCCTTGCCGAAGCACGTGGTTACGGCCTTGAACGGTTTCCCTAAGAGCTTGCATCCAATGACCCAGTTTTCGGCAGCTATCACCATCTTGAATAGCGAGAGCGAATTCGTTAAAGCGTACAACAAGGGCGTCCATAAAAGCAAGTATTGGGAAACCATCTACGAGGATTCGATGAATCTAATCGCCAAATTGCCCGTCGTAGCCGCCACGATATATCGAAATATTTACAAAGATGGCAAGGGTTTGGGCTCTGTTGATTCGGGCAAAGATTGGTCCTGGAATTTCGCCAACATGCTCGGCTACGACAATTCTCAGTTTATAGAACTCATGAGGCTCTACCTAACCATCCATTCCGATCACGAGGGCGGCAACGTTTCGGCCCATACCACCCACTTGGTAGGCTCGGCTTTGTCCGATCCTTATCTATCCTTTGCCGCCGGGATGAACGGTTTGGCCGGGCCGCTTCACGGTTTGGCGAATCAAGAGGTCTTGGTATGGTTGGAAAAATTACGTTCCCAAGTAGGAGACAATCCGAGCGACGATAAGCTCAAGGATTTCATCTGGAATACCTTAAAAAGTGGCCAAGTGGTACCTGGTTACGGTCACGCTGTCCTTAGAAAGACCGATCCCAGGTATACGTGCCAAAGGGAATTTGCTTTGAAACACTTGCCCAACGATGCTCTATTTAAGGTACTAATTATACATTTTATTCGAATAAATAGTTTATACTCTATGTTATACTCTAATGCTTTTTCTTTCCCTCCAGTTGGTCGCTCAAGTCTACAAAGTTGTACCTCCAATTCTCCTGGAAACTGGAAAAGTAAAGAACCCATGGCCGAACGTAGACGCTCATTCGGGAGTCTTATTGCAATACTATGGTATGAAGGAAATGAACTATTACACCGTCCTATTCGGAGTATCGCGCGCCCTGGGTGTACTCGCATCCTTGGTTTGGGATCGTGCTCTTGGCTTGCCCATCGAAAGGCCCAAATCTTTGAGTACCGATCTACTAATGAAGGCTGTTAAAGCATAAATTGGAGACCGGTGTTTGCGCGCAACGTTTCAGTATCATTAAAACCACCAAATCATATCCGCCGACCGCAAGCAACCGTTGTCGACGTTTACGATTCATATCGGCGAGTACAAGAGAGCTCTACGACTCATTGTCAATTTAAACTTTACTTCGATAAAACTTCGAGAAACGGGAATCGTCTTGCGTCATTCTCCGATACTCGCGTCCTAAAAGAAAACGTAGTTTCATTGGAACGTAATACAACTGCCAAATATTACTGAAAAATATTCGCGAGATAGCAATCTTGAGAGAGAATAAATAATGTATTCGTGTACACAATTGCCACTTGATATTTGCGCGATCAAATCAGGAATAAAAGGCGATAAAGCAATATCAAAGGATTATCCCAATTTTAAAAACAGTTGATAATTAGATACGACATGGTAGTGTATTATGTCATTTAAAACGTCATTTTCATCGACCGATGATTCGATTAACACTGCCCACAGTTTTGCGCGATTTTATTTTTTCGAATCTATAATACCATGCCACCCAACCTCCGCCACATCTCCCCCAACCCCTTTTAATTGGTAGCAAAATAGCTTCATTGACTCCTTTAACCGAATCAAATAAATATCGTAGGTACGTTAGTTAACGCTAATGGCAAACACGTGTATGCACGGTGCTACATGTCGTTATAATATCTAACTATTAAATCATATTAGATCACTCGCTCAGGAAGTTCACGTATGTCGCGATTCCTAAACCACCCTCCCCCCACCTAATTATATATACATCCGTAACAGAAAACACTTACAAGGCTAACTAAATACTTAATTAAATACCGTTCAAAGTGCTTTCTATAGCACTGGTTGTTGGTTTTAGATTTTCTCGAACATATTAATAAAATGATTCGGTCTTATACCGAACCGATAAGAGACATGCGTAAATTAAGAAGGATGACCAGTGGTAGATCCACTGTTATATGAGAATGTATGAGTGTGTGCGATTCTTTATTTATAATAAACATGAAAATAAATAGATATTTAAAAATAATATAAGACACGCGATCATTTCTTAATACCTGATCTGAAAAATACAGGAGGACGCGTGCATGTACTTTTACTTGATCGATATAATATATATATATATATATATATATATATACATATGATAGATGAAAATCTTTTGGGTAAATCCTACCGCATCTTAGCATTTTCCTTTAAAATACATTTTATTCACTATTTACTATTTATATTAACATCACTGTGTAGAACGTCACAATGTAAAAGAATGAATTATCCATTTAAACCTTCCTTATTATCTCTAATTAATATGTACTTTAATGTACAGATATTATTATAAATTTAAATCACACGTATTTTTTTTACCATACAGATCGTCGATTTTTATGTTGAATATTTATCAAAAGCAGTATTATTGTCTAAATAAAAATCGATCATTACTTGTGGAAAATATCGAAATTTAAAAACAAAAAAAGACAGACACAGAAGAGATTTAAAAATTAAAAAATTTTTAATTTTAAACAAATCGCAGGGTCGTTTCACTAGCTTTTTTTTTACCCAAACTAGACATAATATGTTTTTGTGTGTATTCTGTAGAATTTTCTTTTTAATTTATTTTTAATTAATTCGAGTAAGAGAATAACCAAAAGATCGGCGATAAAAAAATTCGACTCGTTATATTATTTGTAGTAACCACGTTTCCATTAATTCTATTATTGAAACATTCGACAAAATTCCGATTCGAGAAAAAATCACGTGTGTTTCTACATATATATAACTGCAATAGTTATACATATACACGATAGTTTGTTATTTTTAAGAGTCATTTCTCAATATGAGAAAATTAACCTTTCGTTATTTTATATGTAAGAATCTCACTCTTCACTTTAGACGGCATTTATCTTATACAATGATGTTCTAAGTATTATCAATTAAAATTTAATCGACGCTCGCGACATAATTAGATACTCAATATTGTTAACATTTTAACTGAATATTGTTTAAGTGGAATATTCCTAGCTGCATGCAATTTATTATATCACAGCTATTGTGGTTAAACACATTAAAAAAAATCAATATATTTTTAATTAATTAATAAATAAAATTTTTGTTTTCGTTATAACACTACACACAAATGAATTTGTATTGTTACACAAGGTGTATTCATTTAATTAAGATTATTTGTCATTTGGATTTTTCCAGCAAACAACTCCTCGTCCCGATATTAAATCGATGTACTTATCACAAAACAATTCGCATTCTATTTGCTAATGCTCGGTTGTCTCTTGTGTATCCTTGTTATGAAGTCTTACAGATGTTTATACGATTCGGCCGCTAAGAAATCTTCTTAAATTCTCTTACGTAAATGTTAAAAATATTCTATAGATTAGAACTATATCTGCTGATCTTACTTTTGTCTTTTCTTTTTATCTTTCTTTTTTTTGTCCTTTTTTTTTCTTTTTTACAGTCGCTTATTGTTAATAAAGTGTATAAAAACTATGTACAGAGATGTACCTTTTACTTTTGCATAAGAAGCCAAATCGACGTACTCTTTTGGTACGTAAACAAGTACTTTTTACGGCTTCGGCGTTTATTATAAGCACAAGTGAACGGGTCCGACTATTTTCAAGAATTCATTTCTTTTTCTTACAATAACCGATCCTTTATCAGATAATACTTGCAAAATTAAATGACATATGAAAGATGTGCGAACGAGAAATAAAACTTGGCAGTTATCACTTTTGAAAATGCATGTTACTTAAAGGTAAAAACAACGCGTATTCAACATATTAATAAGAAATAATCAAATTAATCTAACTTTATATAATACAGGGAAATTATATTTTCTATTTAACAACAATCTTTTAGCCTTCAACTTTTTCTTTAACTTGGACTTTAATGCTTATTGTTAATTAATTTTTTCTTTACAATTACATTTCGCGCGTGTATTATTATTTCATCGAAAATGAAAATAAATTTGTTGCCCGTCCACTCTCAAATACATTAAACATTTGCTATAGTAATTGTCTCCGTATATGTAGTTATACTTTGATCGTCGTACTATACAAAGTAACGTAAAGATTTTCAAACGTGAAAGAATTATTTTTGCATTATGTACGACCATCAAAGTAGCAATCGTGCTAACTCGCGCTAATCACATATTATACAGTTTAATTATTTTGTTGAATTTATGACAAACTCTCATAATGTACGTCATGTCTTCTTAAGACGTCCAACGATCCATTCCAGTCCTTGGTAGAGTCTACGATATCAGTTATATTCATTATTTAATGAACGTTATACGTTATATATGTATATACATATATATTGTATTAATGCATGCTAGGATTAAAAAGGAAATAATTATTTACCCTTCTCCCGTGAGAGCGCAACAGCTTTGTATGTGCCATTGATGTTTTTTGATGGACGTTAAATCTAGTTGTCTTGAAATTTCAGCAGCTGTCATGCTACCCTTCAAGTCCTGCTTATTAGCATAAACTAAAACATTAGCTTTGCTAAGTTCCTCGTGATTTAACATAGAATATAATTCTTCTCTTATTACACCGAGTCTCTCTCTATCAGTACTATCTATAACCATTATTATAAATTCTGTATTTGTGTAATAAGTGGACCAAGCTGCCCTTAAGCTCTGCTGTCCTCCTAAATCCCACATTATAAAATGAATATTCTTCCATACTACTTCTTCTACGTTTGAGCCAATAGTAGGTGATGTATGAACAACTTCGTTCATCAGGAATTGATACAATATGGTTGTTTTACCAGCATTGTCCAATCCAACCATAACTATTTTATGCTCTGAAAAAGGATTTAACTTTCAATCTTATTTGTTTTCTATATATAGAAATATAGAGAAAAGTGCATAATCTAACATACTTGCAATGTATAAATATGTACAAGAAATATCATTTATATTAATATAACAAGATGATGGCCACGTTCAAACATTCGTTACTTTGATATGATATGATAAATAATACAAAGTTACAAATAGAATTGACACAAGAACAAAAGGTAATCGCAGTTAATTATGAATTTATTATATTTGTACATTTTTTCTATCCATTAAAATGTATGTAACCGTAATATTTGATTATTGAAAAGATTGCTTTTACCTTCGTTACCAAAAAGACTCCACAACTTGGCGAATAGCAATCCCATATTGATCACAGTTTCGAAATAATTCGAAAAACACCGCGCACGTTTACTTTCTCTCTCTCTCTCTCTCTCTCTCTCTCTCTCTCTCTCTCTCTCTCTCTCTTTCTCACTATCCCTCTCTCGTATTATAATACAGCCTTGATTACGATAAAGAGAATGTATGTATTTGGACTTAGAAATAGGGCATCCATCTCATTGTTACAGGGTTATGTCCAGCTTTTCATCACCGCACTTAGTTTTATTTTCACGATATTTCGCGGTCTCATGTCAACGAACAGCATAACACAAAAAAAAAAACAATAAAGACACAATAATTTGCAATTGTTGCCAGTAAGATAAGATAAATTGTTAAACGGAGTAATTGTAAAAGAGCATTCTCTCTAATCTAATCAAGACGATCGCGACATGTTGCATATGCGATTAAAATGTTCCTACGTACTGATTGGTTCAATTCTAGTTTGCGACTATGACGTCACAAAAATTCTACCATGCACTGATTGGAGAAAAAGCAATTGTACAACGAGCACCGAGCGCGCGTTAAATTAAATATTTGTATTATTTTACAATTTCTACAATAGTCGAAGTTTCCAGTAACAAAAAATAATTGTAATTTCTAGTTATAATTATTCTTCTTTTTTCCTCTCTTTTCTAATCTTTAAATATTAACGAGATCGTACAAGTGATTATAGATAAGAGCTATTGGGTAAATATTTAGGCGAAAATAAAATCTTAATATCCATGAATACACAAATGCTACATATTGTATAACTTATTTCTATATACTTTTGTGACGTACTTATGTTTGCAGGGAATATATGAAAAAGTAAATGTTTAGTATCAATAAGCATACATATCTTACATATTTGCAAATAAAATATCGTTAGAAGCATTTAAAATGTTTGTGCTTAATCAGCAGAAATCATTACTCATAATAATAGCTCGTCCCATAGATGGACGAATTCGCTTGGATTTTTGTATCTATTTTAGATTTATATATATATATATATATACGTAATCGAACGAATTGACTTGATATTTGAATTGATATTTGAAAGTATGTATACGAAGATGTAATTAAATCGGATAAGATGACGATATCCGTTATGATATAAGTGAGAAATAATAAAAAAAAGTAATACATATTTGTGAAATTGCGTAATACATATATTGTGAAACTACGAAAACGTAATGTAATAGTAGTGGAAATGAGGAAGCATAGCCGAGGCTATGATTGGCGCGTTACGATTGGTGCGTTAATGTCTGATGACTCTGCGTTCTTCGTTGGACATTCGTCGGACATACGTGTATGACCACTTGTTGCTAATATTTGTCATTTAAGTTATCCTCAAAAATATTCAAGTTAATAAATCTTAGGGAAAATGTCGCAACCGTAAGTAATAATTTGAAATATAAAATATTATAAATACATGTGTAAATTTTTGTTTGATTATTTGTTTTTATAAATATATAAGTTAAATTTATGTCATAAATATATGGTTCTTCTCCATTTCTTCAATTAATTTACTCTTCTAATGAACTACACTCAATGTGAAATTTAAAAGAAAAAATGAACGTTTCAATATTAAATCCACAAATAGAATATATGTATTATATTATATTTATATTATATATATTATATTTATATATATATATTACATGTGTTATGCTTTTCATGATAAGTAATTTCATATTGAACATTTCAGCACTGCAGATATCGCATTAATTGGCTTAGCCGTTATGGGTCAAAATCTTATTTTGAATATGAACGATCATGGCTTTGTCGTTTGCGCGCACAATCGTACCACGAAAAAAGTACAAGATTTCCTTGAAAATGAAGCTAAGGATACGAATGTCATTGGTGCATTTAGTTTGAAGGAAATGATTTTAAATCTTAAGACTCCGAGAAAAGTAATGTTATTAGTCAAGGGTAAGTAATTTTCTATTATTAAAAATATTGTGGTATATTATATATGCTACCATTATTAAAAAAAAATCGTTTCAATGAAATGTTTCTTGTACGTCGTATTTTGCAGCTGGTTCAGCCGTAGATGAATTTATCGATCAACTCGTGCCTCTGTTAGCTCCAGGAGATATTATTATCGATGGTGGTAATTCCGAATATCAAGATACAGAGAGAAGAACGAAAGATTTAGAGAAAAGAGGAATACTTTTTGTTGGAAGCGGGGTGAGCGGAGGAGAAGATGGAGCACGATATGGACCATCCTTAATGCCTGGGGGTAATTCTAAAGCTTGGCAACATATTAAGCAAATCTTCCAAGTAATTATTCCACTCGACTATGTAATGAATGTCTCCTAATTCTCTGATTAAAATTGTAAGATAAATCTATTGCGCATGTTTTCTAGTCAATATGCGCCAAAGCCGATGGGGAGCCTTGTTGCGATTGGGTAGGTGAAAATGGCGCAGGACATTTTGTAAAGATGGTACACAATGGTATAGAGTATGGTGATATGCAACTTATTTGTGAAGCGTATCATATTATGAAAAATGGTTTACAATTGAATCAAGAAGAAATGAGCAAGGTTTTTGACGAATGGAATAAAGGAGAACTGGATTCATTTCTTATCGAAATTACTAGAGATATTCTTAAATACAAGGATAAAAAGGGCTACTTGTTAGAACGTATCAGAGATTCAGCAGGACAGAAAGGAACCGGCAAATGGACAGCTATATCTGCGTTAGACTATGGAATCCCAGTTACATTAATCGGAGAATCAGTTTTTGCAAGATGTCTTTCCTCCCTAAAGGATGAAAGATTAGAAGCTAGTAAAGTGTTGGAAGGACCCGATACTACCAAGTACCAAGGTGATAAAAAGCAGTTCCTAGAACATTTGAGAAAAGCTTTATATGCATCCAAAATTATATCTTACGCGCAAGGTTTCATGTTATTAAGAGAAGCTGCCAAAATTCACAATTGGAATTTAAATTATGGCGGTATAGCGCTTATGTGGAGAGGTGGATGTATTATAAGAAGGTAATATAATACAGATACATGTATGTACGTATATATGTAATGTGCCACATTAAAATGGTCAAATAATTATATATAATTTTTACAGTGCATTTTTGAAAAACATAAAGTTAGCTTTTGATAAAAATCCAAAACTTACTAATTTACTGTTGGACGATTTCTTTGCTAAAGCAATGAAAGAATGTCAAAGTAGCATTAGAGTTGTCGTTTCTAATGCTGTGGCTCTTGGAATACCGACTCCTGCATTATCAACGGCATTAGCATTTTATGATGGCTATAGAACTGCTCAACTCCCTGCAAATTTACTTCAAGCTCAAAGAGATTATTTTGGAGCGCATACGTACGAATTTATTGGTCAAGAAGGTATATTTGTGCACACTAACTGGACGGGTCGCGGAGGAAATGTTTCTGCTTCTACGTACGATGCTTGATAATATTTCCAGAGAGCTCAAAGAGAAAGCAATTCGAAGTAGGCTTCTCAAACGTTTTGTACATGCCTTTTATATTGTTCTCCAAATGAATGTACATTATTGTATAGCATTACTACACACATTAATACATTTATGAGATAGAAGAGGATACATCATATATATATATATATATATATATATATATATATGTTTCTATTTTTTTCGTAATGATTTATTATTTATACAAGCTACGTCGTATCATTGTTGGGTGTATGAATATTATAAATAATTTTATGAAATGGCAATTTTTCAGTGTTATAAATGAAATAAAACTTTTTCCTTTCTTTACCGATTAGTCAACGTAAATACTCTTTTATACTGTTTGTTTTAGGCGCCAATTTGGTGTTACAAAGTATATTTTGTGAGCGTGCCAATGAAATTTTTCTCGAGAGCGTCTAGTACATTTCGTATCTAAGAAATTTCATACATCCTTAGTGACAGAAGATTTACTGATATTAATCCTCATCGTCGTTACAAAATATTTTCTTATTTATTCATAAATACAAAATTGTGAGAATTAAGTTTGTAGCCATAAAAAGTCTCGTTATTCCCTGATGGAAGATATGAAAAAATATGTAGGAAAGTTACTAGCCAAAGTTCCCACATATCCTATTTCCGGTCGAAAGAGAACCGTTCCGAAGTTACCGAAGAATCGATAAAAGGGTCCAGAATGGAAGCCAGTCATAAACAGCTTATTTATCTTCATAATAATTGGCTCCCGCAAACGTTTGCGACGCATAAAACACAATTCTGCATATTTATGTAAGTATAATTAAAGTTGAAATTTGAACATTGTACGGAAAAGCTACGCACATTGTACTTTTTCCATTACAAACGTATGACGATAAGCTTGTCCCTGTTGTCATTTGCAAGTTAACCTCAATCTTTTTTCATAATAGTAATTCCTTCGACCGTTTGTTGGAATATAACGTATTCATTTTGGCTTTACTTCTGTATACGAAAACTGTAGATGATCAATGTTGGAAGGATGGTATTGTCGTTCTATCGCAAACAACAATGCAGATGCCGAAGAAGATGACGAAGAAAGTCCAGAGGAGGAAGTGCCAAACTACAAGGATCAGTATCGAAATCTTAAGCGAAAATTAAAGTTTTTAATTTATGTACGACGAAAACGATTAAGCATGTCGAGCCCCAAGCTAAGTCAAGTTTTCTTATTATTTTTTATATATTTATTTCAGGAAAATGAATGTTTTCAAGAAGCTCTAAGATCCACTCAAAGAAAATTACTCAAAGTAAATAGAGACAAAAGTTTTTTATTAGACAGATTATTGCAATACGAAAAAGTAGATACGTCGTTTAGCGAAAGTGATGAAACTGAGTCATCCGACGAAGAAGTTGCTAGGCTCGATACGTCCAAGAGGTATAATTTTTAACAATTTTAATCATACATTTGTATCCATCGTTATAATAATACATTTTTTTTTTTTTCTTTCTTTTTTTTGTTAGAAAAAAAATGGAAGTCAATGTAGGCAATCACATTTCGCATCATCCATCTACAGTTACTAAACCTCTTAATACGAGCAAAAAGAAAAAAGCTGCACCAAAAGTATCCAAAACGAACAACATACCTACAGTGCGTAATGCTATATGCGCTTTCTTTTATTATAACGAGTACATTATTTGTCACAAGTGTTGCAAAGAGAACATTCTGAAAATTCAAAAACCCTTGCCTTTAATAATTAATTACCTTTTCCAAAGGTACAAGCACCTAATAATATGGTACCGATATCTTTGATGTCGGATGGACATATGACACCTGAAGAAGTAGAAAGGCATTTAGAGTCTCGTCAAACGTTTATAGAACTTGTACCAGAAAAAGCACCGCCTACAGTTCCGACAGAAATGTTCAGCAATGACCCTTCGTTAGATAGGTAACATTGAAACTCTGTCCGTTTTGATATATTTTATTATCGTATCGTCTATTACACGATCATCTATTGCAGTGAATCCAATGAAATCGGCGAGTTAGAAACATCTCCGAGTAATATGGGCGAAGATTGTCTCAGCATGGATATGATGGCTGAGTGACATCGATTCGAAAATAGATTATTGATCAATTATTAATTGCACATAATTGCATGTTTCGTTAATATCAATATTTTATTCAATTAACTTATCTGTGTAACTGTCGTGTAGCATAATAAAATTTTTTATACATATGAAAGATGTCTACGGAAAATATAAATCGTTTAGATCTAGTATTTGAATCAATATTCGACATGGTTTTACGCGTATACGTAAATTGTTCAGAATTTTTCATAAATATGAATAAATATACGTTAATATATACGTATGCGCACACGCGCGTCATCGTCTTCTATCAATGATCTCGCACATCAATCTCTTTGTGCTCTGTGTTGTTTGTGGGAATCGTGTGGTACACGACATAGAAAAGAATTTTATATACTTTTTAGCCTCGATTTGTTGTTCACATACTTTCTATCCTTGAATAATCGATCATCCATTGTTTTTTGTTTTCCTTAGTTTAGAATATACATTTTTTTATAATTCATGACAATTTTCAAGATATATAATATATATATAATGATTACCGTTAATAATTCAGTAGCAAGTATATTAGAAAGAATCATTTGCACGATAGAAATCGAAACAATTTCGAATAAAGACATTTCTCGATTGCCAACTAAACGAAAACTCGACGATATTGGAATATCGAGTAAACAAAATAAACGTGCAAGGTACGAAACGGATAGCGTTGAAGAAATAAATTGCCGTATATGTTATGATTCTAATAGCCAGCAATTTCCTATCGTTTATCCATGCAAATGTAAGGTAAGTAAATTTATATAAACATCTATATTTTCAATGCGCTAATGGAATAATAAAGAGTAAGTAAATACATATGTTTATGCGTGTACGCGTATATACTATCGTATTATTAATATTTATACAATATGTACAATGTTTTAGTTTTGGTAATTAGTATATACATATATGAACAATTATAATACACATATTATTTTGAGCTGCAATCTATTAGATATTATATATTTGTATGTACTATTTTTAGGGTACGATGGGTGCTGTTCATGTGAAATGTTTAGAACGTTGGTTAGAGGAAAGCAATAGAAATAATTGTGAATTATGCGGACACGTATTTCAAGTCGAACGCACCCCACGTTACAAAGCTATTACATCCGTTATTATATGGCTGTGCGTTATTCAACATCAACGTCATCAATTATATATGCGCAATTTGAGAACAGATTTGCTTCGCTGTATCATTGTCACCCCAGCGACCGTAATATGTTCCTACATTTGCGTGATTGGTGCTGATTTTTATGCAGCGAATAATTATAATAATTTTCCTCCAGCACGATGGACCACTTATTCTTTGCTAGTAATGATGGCATTACTCATTTTTTCGTATTTCCTCTGGATATACATAGCAGTTGAAAATCATCAAAAAATTTGGTTTTATTGGTGGCAGAAAACAAGCATTGTCAAAATTACATTGCCTTTGAACAATAGAACTTAAATAAACGATAAATCTAATATATCACAAGTTTGATCATTATTCGATGCTTCATCAAATGCTTCTAGCCGCCGTATATGCAAATGTCGTCATAACTCATTAAAGGAGAGTTATTACGATGCTCGTCGTTTTATAGAAATCTTTCCACGGCTCAGTTGCGATATGTAAATTCTAACTTTGCTTCCATCCGATATTTTTTTCACCCATATCTAGAAAATGTCATCAATTAATCATGTTTATGCTATATTATTTTAAATGCACCCAAATATAAGATCATTTTTAAATATCGTTTGTTCTCAACATTCGTTATACTCTTAGCTTGTTATTTGAATATTTAATCATTGTACTTACAGCTTCTGTTCCAATCGCCGATATGTTTGCCGCAAATCTCGTCAAGTCCTGTCCTTCTACGTATACCGGTTGTCCACGATGGAACCTGCATTGTTTATTATAATTGCATAACAAATTTATACGGAAAATAGATACAAGTTTTATCAAATATAAGAGGAAAATATACGTAGGTAATACCATCGTCTTTCATAGAGGAGTTTTCCACCTTCTATCCTTGTTTCCACTAGAGATGTGTCGGTAGATGGCGAAATATGTTGAGATTGTATATTTACTGTATTGTAATGTGGAAGTACTACTACAAACATTTTTAAGCTCCTATAAGAAATGATTAAAAAAAGAAGGGCGCGCACGTACGCGCATTCAGTGGCACAATACGAATCTTACGAAAATAATTACCTGGTTTTCTTATCGTCGTTAAAATTTTACCCCGACTAATAGCTTTTAAATCACTTTCTATTTCTTTTTCATCTAATAAGTAATTTAATTGCGCCGGAGGAGGTTTCCTACGTTTCTCGACTTTTTCGGGTACCGGATCGTTCGGTCGCCTACGTAATTTTCTTGTCATCACTGGCTTTACCTACATACGTCATATCATTCATTAATAATTATTTCATTATATTGCCTTATGTTGATATTTAATGTAATAATTGTACCTCCATCGAATCTCCTGTAAGCTCCATTGTATGCCGATCGGATTCAATCATTTTTCTTTTTTCTTCCATATCCGTTAGTAAGTTTTCTTTCAAGTCTATTTTCTTTTCCTCAAATTCTTTAGCAGCTGCTTTTTTCTCCAGTATGTAATCTCTTTCGACCCATTCCGTTAAATAATCTCGATAAATGATATTCAGACGCAACCTAATAAAGAGTAAAAAAGTTCAAGCGGAGAAAAACAACATAGTTCAATCAACAAAATGCATTACACCATTAAACCTTTCTTTGTATTGTGCTTCTAAGCGCTTTAGTTTACGATTATATTCTGGGTGGGTGCCATCCTTCAGTTGTTGTAATTGCTTTTTTAAATTGGCTAATTTATCTTGATATACCCTAAAATTCAATTTTATTATTAAATTTTGTTGGTGAAATATCGTTAACAATTACTAACTTATTTCTAACTCACTGTTCTTTAATCTCTGTATATTCTTCAGATTTTCCCATATCCGTCTCGCTAGCTTCTTCCGTATCTATAAGCATTACATGTAATTCAATGTATAAAAACATTAATGCACTTTATTCGTAGATATATCAAATATGATGTACCTTCATCGCTATCGTCCTGCTCCTCCGCATCTCGATCTTCCTCGACATATTCTTCATTATCTTCGTCGATGTCGTAATCTTCTTGAGCGTACATCGTTGAAAACGGTGAGTTTTGATATGACATTGTTTCTTTCTTCAAAATAAATCTTTACATTTTCGGTGTAATCGAAAGGGTCGTGGTTTTAGGTTAGAATACGAACGATGCGTTGTCTACCATCGCGTGGCCTATGTGCAAGCACAACACAGGAATACGCCATCTTGTCTGCATGCACATGTATGTACAATTTATTAATGTCGCCTATCGTTTTTTTTCTTCTTCCAATGATTAATAGAATGTTTAAAACGCGTAAACGATACATTATTTGTATCGTATGTAATATGCATTCGTTATTTGCATTATTTTTCATCGAAGATTAATCGAGGATCAATGTGTTGTAATTGTAATGTCGATTAATCGTTGGGCGCGAATTTCAAATTCGATTTTTCCGCGAGCAACAGAGTGATAAATAAGAAACGTTTCGCTGTTAGATCGCGCTTCGATCACGACCTTGGCTTTGCGTGAGTATATTGAGTATATCAAATTCAATATCAAGATCTTTGCTAATCTTCTTAACGTCTCTTATTTGCGTTTATTAATTGATAACAAATTTTCCATTTTGCTGTGTCGCCTACGTAAAACAACTTATATAACAGTAAGTACATATTTCAATCGTTTAATATCGAAATAGTAGTTGTAGAAAAAAAAAGTTTGTATTATTTAAAGGATATTAAAATATATAAAATACATATCATCAAGATGCCGAGTAACGTTCAAGAAGGTTTTTCTACGAAAGCTATCCACGCTGGCCAGGATCCAGCACAATGGAATCATTGGTCGTTGGTTCCTCCTTTAGTAATGTCTACTACTTTTCAACAAAGTCATCCAGGAGAAAGTCATGTAAATGAAATAAATGCATATATATTAATATACACTGCTACTATTATTATCTACGATTGCAAATAATCTATCGAGACAATTTTGATAGGGTTTCGAATATGGTAGAAGTGGCAACCCGACGCGCAACGTATTGGAAACGTGTTTAGCAGCATTGGAAGATGGAAAGCACGGTTTTACTTTTTCATCGGGCTTGGGAGCCATCACGGCTGTGACAGGTTTACTCGAAACGGGAGATCATGTCATTTCTGGAGACGATGTTTATGGCGGAACTAATCGTTTTTTTCGAAAGTGCTTAGTTAAACAAGGTATTAAGGTATCTTTTGTGGACCTGGTAGATACAAAAAACCTCTTGGCTGCTTTACAACCAAACACCAAGGCTAGTATATACAATATCAATGTAATAATATATACGTTTTCAAAAGTTTACTTAATCCGGACATTGTATTCCAGATGGTTTGGTTGGAGACACCCACGAATCCTCTATTAAGATTAGCAGATATCGAAGAAATTGCCAAAGTTTTAAAGTCCCAAAATCCAGATATCATTTTTATCGTCGATAATACTTTTCTGACGTGCTATTATCAGGTAAACGACAGATGAACATTATTTCTTACACGGCAGATATCATTAAATATCTATATTTATATATTTTTCCTTTAGAAACCATTAGAACTCGGAGCTGATTTTGTAGTATATTCTCTAACTAAATATATGAATGGACATTCGGATATTATCATGGGTGCAGCGATTACAAGGAGAGATGATTTAGCGGAGAGACTTCGTTTTCTACAAAATGGTACGAGCAACGAACCTACCGATGCGATTTATTTAAAACATTTTCATCCATACTCTACAAGTTTTCATATTACAGCAATGGGAGTAGTTCCATCGCCTTACGATTGTGCTATGGTTAATCGTAGTTTAAAAACATTAGAACTTAGAATGCAACAGCATATGAAAAATGGATTAGCTGTTGCCAAATTTTTGGATAAACATCCTCTAGTGGACAAAGTTATTCATCCTTGTACGTATGTTCGCTCTATGTTGATAATACACGTTGTTTCTTCGTCTCGCATCATTCGAATAAATCTACAAATGACCAAATGATATTTTTCTAGATTTACCGTCTCATCCGCAGCATCAACTTGCTTTAAAACAATCGACGGGTCACAGTGGCATCGTTTCGTTTTATATTAAAGGAAGTGCTCAAAAATTTTTGAAGAGTCTTCGTTTATTTGCTTTAGCAGAATCACTTGGTGGCTACGAATCTTTGGCGGAATTGCCGTAAGTACACTGTGACGATATAATATAGAAATATATTCAACATAATATAATACTAATATATTTTATATGTATATATGTAGAAGCGTCATGACACACGCTTCTATTCCCGAGGCCACAAGGAACGAATTAGGAATCACGGATCAGTTAGTTCGTTTGTCTGTTGGACTTGAAACGGAAAAAGATTTGTTAGCTGATCTTGACCAAGCTTTAAAAGCTTCTCAATGATATCAAAAATAGTATTTTTCTAACATAATATTTTCAACAGACACTACGGTTTGCCGACATAGAGAAATTATTTTTTAAGGGATCTTTTTTATATGTGACATATTGCCATAATGTGATACATTTCTTCCTACGCGTGTGTATCGACTTTTATAACTGAGGTAACGTTCTTACTACTAATCATATTGATACGAATACACACAAATGTAAGGATTTGTTTGATATTTACTGTTGTTAAAAGAAATGTGTTCAGGCAGGAGCTGCTTTCATTTATACCTACGCAAATCGTATATAAACGAATATAAATAAATAAATAAATGTAATATTACTAGTATAAAGAGAAAATGTATCTATCAAAAGTGTTTAAAAGAAGTAGAAATATGCATTGTCCTATACCTTTGACGTTTCTGCGATTTAAGCCAAGAACGATTGTAGTTAAAAACTTGATAAGAAAATAATAGAAAGGAAAAAAACAAAATTGTGTTTTACCTTTTATAGATTTTGGATGCGCCAGAAAGAAGGAGGTATTTTTTATTTGTAATATTAAAAACAAAATGGAATAAATCGTTGAAGATATTGGAAATGTATGACACGAACAAATGTTATATATGGTATTAATATTTATATAAATCTTTATTGATTTTAAAATGTTATTACTGTAAATTAATTTTCGAAGTATGCCGTAATTTAGCAGTTTTAATCCTATCATATTCTTGTGCTTGATTGTATAATAGTACACCAGCTATTACAGCACAAGTTCCAAGGGCCGATAAACCGGTTACTGAATTATTGAATAATAAAACTGAGAGCCAAATTAAAAAAGCTCTTTTTGCTGTATTGGCAACGCTGCAAAATACATAATATAATACGTAAGGTCGTCATATTGATATTGTTTGCTTTCTTTTCTGTTTTTTTTTTTTTTTTTTTTTTTTTTTTTTTCTTATTAACGTTTGTTCCACTTACCTATGCGTTACAGGGCTGATGTAATCCATAAGTACGTATGCCGTAATACTTTGAAAATGGAAGAAGACGCCATTTAGAAGAAATGCCGCAAATATTTTAAAACTTAGGGAATGCTCGAGTGCTGGCAAATCTACTAATAAAATTGACACTGGTATTTGTACCACGATTGATGCTAAACTCGTATAAAATTGTAATTCTGCTGGCCTAAAATTACATTGAATAATAAATTTAGAGGACGCGTGCGTTGTTCATTAATAATTATGGAACGATTTGGGGAGAAAACTTACGTATATTTGAAATTGTCTCCGCTAATCAACATTTTCGAATAAACATTTTGAAGACACTCGGTCATGTTTGTGGCCATAGCGGCGATAAATCCTCGTAAATCAAAACTAATTTCGTTTACCGAGCACAAAGCTAGACCACCCATTACAGGGATTAAAGATAAATTTACATATAACCCAGTGTGTTCTCCTATATATTAAATATAATCTCATTGAATATGGACAATAATATTGACAGATATTTAATGACAATAATCTTACCTAATAAATATCTGCTAATAAGGACGGTAAAAAGTGGTGCGCTACTTTTAATAGTTTCAGTAAAGCTTACCGCCACGTAATTGAGCGATACTAATCCTAAAACTACAGTTGTAAACCTTGTACATCCAACCAATATCATGTGTTTATAGAAACCAGGCGGTCGCATCAGGCGCGAGCTAGCCTTATACATACCGCAGGGAAAATACATTTGTATAAATCCACAAATTGCTGTCATTAACATTTGACAGGCACCTGGAAAGTAATACATTTCATATTATTACAATAATATTTTTTCCAGCAGTTTCAAATAGGAATTAGAGAAACAACTCGTATAGGAGTTAAAATATCTTACCCAAAATAGTTGGGTTGCCTTCCATGTACGATAATATGTATTTGTTTAAAAATAATGTACACCCACTGAAGACATACCATAGCGTTAGGAATAATAACGCCCTTGGATTAAATAATCCACCCTTCGCGTCGTTTGCCAATATAACTATTTCCTCGCGTTTTTTAACATGTTCGATGTATTGTTTCCCGCGACTTTCGTGTACCATTGACAACTCTTCCGCGTCGCGAGGAACACTTTGCGCGTAATTAATACGAACGGAATGATTTTCCATCACACCTTTTTACCAGTTATGACATTATACGCGTACGATTTAGAATAAATATTACATTATTTTCTAACGAATTTACATTATTTCCAATTTCTATCATATAACTGAAAACGAGGAACATCAGCTCTTATTGGCAGTCAGTATTCGTTCGCTGATATCGATGGGGGAGTAGTAATACGTGCATTTGTTTACGTTCATAGTTAGGTTATGGTACGCGACGAATTTGACTTATTTGCTATTACTTTGTCTCTACGTATAGATAATTATATTTGAGAAGACGCGACACTCGATTATTATCACTCGCCTTTTATTAATATCTATTTGTCTCTTCATAACAATTTATCACTTATCAATTTTTGTTATTTATGTTTAGTCAGCGGTGCTTCGACTAGATATAATAAATCGATACTAATCGTCGTCCGAGCCCAGAGAGATATTAAACAAGCTTTCGAGTTAATAAGTAAGAGTTTTAAAGCCTGTGGGGACCAGTGGAAAGTCCCTAGTATTTAGTAGAGGCAAAAGCTCGGTAGCGTACTATCGATAACTCGCAAGGATCGAGACATTAATGAATTGTGTCCAATACTTTCGACTACTATTGTTTAGGTTCTTACATTTCTAATAAGATCATCGATTATAAATGTACATTATATTGTAATTTAATAATACGTGTATATAATAATACGTGTATATAATAATATGTACATATAATGTTTGTACGGTATAACAAAAAAGGGAAAAAATGAATATCTCTCCTCAGAGTTCTATTTTGTGCGGCGTATCTTTTGACGTATTTGGTTCGTTCGAGAACCTTTGTAAAAATTCATCGTGAGCTAATATCGCTACGTTTCTACCACCTATGGCACTCATTTCCATTGCGCTGGCTGCCCATTCGATGGCATTAACGTGATAAAGACCGTCGTAAAGTTTAAATTTGTCTAAACGTGCGTTCGTAGTATATCGCGGATATGCTTTCCAGGCGACTTCTTTCACTTCTTCGATCTAAAAAATACGTGTTACAAGTTATTATCAATTAGTCTATAAGATAATAAATTGCGAGCTATAAATATTGATATTACATTGAGAAAAATGTTGTTTAGAAGAGCCAAGGGTAAGGAGGCGTTACTGAAAATTTTCCATATTTTGGAATCAATTTTAGTTGGACCTTCGACGGTGTCTATTCTTCCAACGGACCGAATATCGATATTAGAATTGGAACTTAATATGCTATCTAATTCTTCTTCGAGTCCAAAGTAATTTGGATTAATATCCCCCTTTACAAGGGTCGCAATAGTTGTCTGATATTCGCCTAAAAATGTTAAATCGTCGCCAGGGATGTCTTCGAATGTAATATGCGTCTTTTGATCTTTCGTTAACGGACTCGCGAGAATAACTATGTCGTAGTGATTTTTCATAACGTCTATACCATCTGAAAGAGAAGAAGATTTTGTAATTTTGTGCAAATCTCTTGTATTTGTATTATGTAAATCTTTAATTGCATACCTTTGTTGGAATAATGTACTTCATAAATAGGAAAGTTATTGATAGTTCCGTAACGAATTTTGTTGACGAAAGAAGAGAGCACATTTACGTTAACGTTCCTATATATTAAGTGTTCGGGCACCTAAAATAGTCGAGCAAAATATTAGTACGTTAATTAAAAGCATCTTCTTTGGCAATTGGTAATATTGGTATAAAATTACTTTTTTGTTTCCTCCTTTAACCGACCATAGGTTTCCGGTAGACGCGGAAAGCGTTACGCAACCGACGAAACTGTGAACGGCCGTCGTTTGTCCATAATCTACCAACAAAGGAGCTTCGACTAACTCGTCGATTAATTTCTCCGTATATCCTAAATTTAAAAGGTGATCTTTGATAGAGACTTGGAGAAGCTTTGGAAACTCTTTGTTCAAGGCTATCAGCATAGAGGTAAGGTTCATGAAAGACTGGCCCTTATTTTGTAGATGATAAATTTGAGCAAAATCGGCGAGTATAGAATCTACGTAACTAAAAGAGAAGATTGATCGATCATCGGATGTCGTATTCGTACAGCGATAGACAACAAAAACTAATACCTGTTGAGTTTAAACGGTTCTATACCGTATTTATATATTAATTTAGCTAATGTAAATATCTTGGAATTGCTTTCTTCGAAAATAATATCTGTACCATTCCATATGGCAAATCTTTGTTCTCTGCTAGGCCTATGTTCCATTCCTATCAAATTATAGAAAGAGAATGAATGAATTCAATTCATTATTGTAATGAAAATATTTATCCACACATAATGATGATGTTGGGACGTCAAGTACCAAGTAAATGGACAAATTCTTGCATGTATTTGTTCTGCGAGTGTATTATCGAACCTCCGGCCTCGTATTCGTTGTCATCAATTTGAATCGTCGCCAAACGTCCACCAATCTTATTAGCTTCGTAAAGATCAATTTTTAAATCATTGTTAAATAGTTCAGTGAGAAAATGAGTGGTCGAAGCGGCTCCAATACCTCCACCAATAACAGCTGTGTAAATCACAATTGACGAGATTAGAAGAAAATTGATAAATGTATGAAAATCATTGAATATTATTTTCGAGCGTAAAACAAATCATATAGGTATTTCTTACCAATTTTTGGTGTTTGTATTTTTGAACAGAATGCATGCTTTAATATAAAACTTGCCAACAGCGGGAGAAAATAAGAATGCATATTAAATCGATCAAATGACAAGCACACTATCGTTTAATAGATATCTAAGCACTATCGTTTGTCCCTATATCTAGGAGAAAAAATATATTTTTGGATGTATTCGCGACAAATTAATATCGCAAGGTTATGTTTTTGCGGCTTTTAGAAAGTAGCGCCATCTATGCTACTTGCGCACATGAAATTGAACGCGAGTCAATTTGACATCGTCGTCATTTTTGTACGTATTCAAACGTAGAAGCGAACAAACGTAAGTTTAATTAACAAATATTATAGATATACGATATAATATACGATATAATATACGATATAATATACGATATAATATACGATTTACGTATAAATTGCGATACGGGGTTAGAAATGCTTTTCCTAATAAGCAGTACAACGATCGCGAAGAGTTAACTTTATTTTTTTTTTTTCAAATGTTCTTAGTATATACATGTACAGTACATTTATTTATTTTCTTCTTTTATACTCTCTTCGAAACATCGAAGATGGGTTTCGTTTATTTAAACGCACACCTCATTGTTTTCCTCATTGTATTCGTAAAAAGAAGTTGGAAGCTCGAGCACGGCACTTTGGTTTCTCTATTCGCGCACGTTCCACTTTCTATATCCGTGCTTTTACGAACAAACTGTGCGAAGTGAAACGAAACTTTGCGTTTGAACTATTTCCGGAAGCGATGCTCGTACGAAATTATGTATTTTATGTGTATGCATGGACTAGAATGGGTCGTAAGTAGTAACGTCGTCATTTGTTAAATAATTAGCTTCGTTTAGGATCGGTAAAGATACGAAATTGATCATTGTTTTTGATTATCGAAGAACGCGTTTTCTCTCTTCGCGCTTGTATCTTCTTATTCTATAACGATAAAAGGGATTAACAGGTATTTGACAATAGACGATCGAGGTAATCGGCGATTCTTATCTTTGGGAAGCAAATTTATTTAGACCTCGCCGATAAGCGTTTGTTTTTGTTTGTCGAATTTTCAAATGAACAAGTAAAAAAAAGAAAGAACGAATGTAAAGGTTTATTGAATTGTTCTACCGTGTTAGGGTAGAAGTTGGAAGAAGAAGAAGAGGAAGAAGAAGAAGAAGAAGAAGAAGAAGAAGAAGAAGAAGAAGAAGAAGAAGAAGAAGAGATGTAAGACCGGCGGACAGATGCATCATTTAGTTGTTTAATTCGTGAAGAAGAAAGGAAAAAACGGTCGCTTCGTTTGGACGATTAAAAAAGATCAACTTTCGCGTCTGTTGCCGAGGCGACGTTGGAAGGGAGAGAGATTGTAACGGGAAGCCGTCTCTTTGTTTTCTATTTTTTCGCGAGCGAACGCAGACGAGTAGAGGCGAATCGTAGAAAAGTTGTGGCCGCCAACGTATATTCGGTAGAAGATTTTCGTCCTCCCCTGATTGCGAGTGCTCCAGCGGCGGCATTGGCGTCTCCTACTCTCTTCGGGGTGGGAGGAAAACGAGAGAACCCGACCGGCTTAACGAGCGGCGGTGGGGGAACCTGCCGATCTGATCGGAGAGAGAGAGAAAGAGAGAGAGAGAGCGTGAGAGCGTGAGAGAGAGAGAAAACGATGGAATCTGCAACAAGGTGGGAGGGTCGTTCGACTCGAAGGAGAGGGAAAAGCACGGTGCTTTTGAAAAAGTTTTATCTTGGGCGCGCTTGGTCTCTCAGACGCTACCGAACGCCGGTACGGTGCTGCACGGTCTGCGCTCTTTCTTCTTCGCCGTCCAACGAGGGATTAGAGAAAGAAAGAGATACGCAAGTAGTCGCTAATCATCGCGTAGGACCCCCTAAGAAGAGTCCTCGCGCCACCCTTTTACTTTTTTTTTTATTCTTCCTATCGTTATCTGACACGCACACACACACGCACACACACACGCACACACACACGTGGATTATAGAAAGAGAGCGCGGTCCTCCTTTCGTCATGAGTTATTGAAAGCTTCCGAAAGAAAGGAATAGATAGATAGAGCTACCATTTAAAAGGGGAGAAGAACAGGGCGAAGAGATCGAGGAATACTCTTTGCCTCTCGCCGAGATGAAGAAGAACCGTGTTTTATTAAAGAGTGCGTTGCTCTTCTTGCTGATCGGCGCTGATCTACTCGTTGCTGCATCCGAGGTGAGTTACTACGATTTTCTTGTTCTATCCTTCAAGAAAGATCTTTTGTCTTTGGCAAACCGCGAGGATTTCGGATTGATCAATCGAAGGTCGTTTTCGTACGCGTCATCATTCTTACGTTTCTTCTATGTTTCTTCTTTCGGATTAGACTTATCTCGATAGGTTTTTATTGTTCCGATATTTAAGTCGATAACGCGTCGTTCTACGTTCGTTTCGAAGAAGAGCGTGCGCGACGGGATCAACAGGTACGTATGCGTACACGCGTCCTACTTTAAAGGTAAAAACGATTGTTCGGTTTTGCTAAGGAAACTTGCCACTTGCCATCTCTCATTGTCAGTCGGGAAAATATCGTATCGATATTCTCGACGACGAAATATATAATAGGAGACGAGAGAAACTCGGTGGATAGTCTCGATACGTTTCCCCTAACGAACGTGCGGATAATTCCGCGAGGTCGATTATATTCCGATCACACTTCGAACTTTGAGACAAGAGGGAGGGAGGGAGAGAGAAGCCCCGTTTGGCCGGCGTTAAGCATTACTCGCGTACCATCTCGAAATACACGAATAGAAAATGAAGGAATAACCGAGAAGCTTCGTATCGAGCGAAAGAAAAGATTCGCGATCGAATCGGAAGAATTTAGCGCATGGTATTCTGGTCCATTTTCTGAAGATTTTGACGGAATATAATTTGGAAAGATGAAGCGTGTCTCTATTTAAAAATTGTCCCGTAAAATTTGGACGGGTAACGTTATCTGTTCGACGAGTTGCGATGTTCGATAATCGCGATATCACGTTTCGTGCGCGTAGTACACGACCGGCCCGAGCTCGTTTGATAAAATTACTTCTGCCGGATGCACGTTAACATCGGGTCTTGACTTAATTGGATAGAGATTATCGGAGGTTGAAAGGACTCGATTCGTTAAATGGTTACGCGTAGACAGTTAATGACTTTATTTAAACGGCGATTCGACTTATACGCGTATTTATTGTACTCGGGTTGCCTTTTAATTCGCAAGATTCGTCTCCGTGCTGGATAACAGATTGGAAATAATTTGATTGAAAGCGAGCATACCGGCGATTGTATCGACGAATATTTACTCGAAATCGTTGCTCGCTTTGGAGTTGCATTTGAATATAAACGGACGATATATCGTATCGCGATCAAGGGATAGATAGGATTGAGCTTTGACACGGAAAGAAGACGAATCATCGACGTGTGGCATCGTACGTTGTTGCGACGTACGATCGTTGTTGTTGTCCGAGAAGAAAGATGGAGGAGGGTAAAGGATATCGAATAAGAAAAGGAAGGGTGTGGAGGAAGGGTGTGGAGGAAGGGTGTGGAGGGAGTAAAGCATATTGGAGTACAAGGTTCCTTCATTATCGTATCCTTTTTCCTCGGACGTCGAACGTGTGTTTTCCAGCGGAGAAACCTTTCCAATGGGGATACGCTATTTCGATTCGTTTGGGAAAAGGATGAAGGGAAGATTTGTACCTTATGAAAAATATGGTAATGCAGGTGGCTTTTCGCGACCGAATCGTTTTCTTTTCTACCTTTAAAAGAGCCCCCCCGAGCTCGGCGCACTCGGCTATAGTCGAGAATATTTATATACGGGAGAGGCAATGTCCGCGAGACCATCGGAATTGTATGCTTCGAAAGATCGACCGAGGGAGCGAGAATTTAGGGCTTCCGGACGAGACGCAATTCGAATACGCGGCTAATTTGAAAACTTGCAACGATGTCCTACGACTACGCATTCTGTGTACCGTTGATCGAGGTGCTTCTCTTTTCTTTCGAGGAAACTCCAAATGAACTTTCTTTATTTTCTCATTCTTCCTGTCTCACTCCTTTTCTTCTTCTTGCCTTTTCAAAAAGTATAATAGTAGACCGCGCAAAGCCTCCTACAAATACAAATTATCTTATATTTATTATATTATATTACAATTGATTGCCTAATTTTTGCTCATCCTCTCTTCGACGAATGAATCAGTATTTTCGGAGTCGAAGGAACCGCAACCGGTTGTCACCGGTATGGGCGGCGGCGGTGTTGGTCTCTTACATAAGTAATGCCGTGTGGTAAGAGAGAAAAAAAAAAAAAGAAAAAAATATACAGAGAAAAAGTTACTAACTAGCTATCGTAAGAAGTGTATGAAACTCGGAGAAAAAACGTCTCCTCGATAAATCGCTTATCTCATCGTGCAATGTCTATTAATACTCTCTTGAAAGACGTAGTCATATTTTAGTATTAATTATATTTTAATATTATACGCCTATAAGAATTAATATTTAAAGTAATTATACGAACGACTACGTTTGTATTCTCTTATAGAGAAAAATCTACATTCCAACGTTCTCGAGATCGTAATTGGAGAAATAAATGAGTCATCAGGTCTACTAGTCATCATTTCTACATTGTCGCGATATATTTTCGCGATATATTTTCGCGATATATTTTCGCGATATATTTTCGCGTTAGGTAGGTATACACGATTCTGTAGGAGACGTAGATAGTTAAGAAGAGGAAGTAGCTCGATACGAATATTTCGATTCGTATTGGCGTGGTCTAGCTTTAGGACACTCGAAAAGCCTCGAGTAGGAGCACTGGTACTGGGGAGTAGGAGCGTGGAAGTACTTTTTCTTCCCCGAGTACCGCTCGAGTGGTACTTTTAAGTGCCTTATCGTCCCAACGGATCTACTTCTTTTAACGCGTCCATTCGCACCCAAAGAGACCAAATTTCCTCTTCCTTTTAGGCTTTGTTTTAGAAAAATCCAAAGGTATATTGAATCGCGAAAGTCGGTACTACCATAAGCCGGTACTACCATAAGCCGGTACCATAAGCCGGTAGTCGGATCGATTTTCCTGGCTAATCCTTATTGGGTCGGTAATATATGTATCAGCGATCGTTTTTCCTAGTTGATCTTGATCGTCTCTACAAACGCGTACACCTAGAGATACAACTCTTCCTCTTCTTTTCCCCTTTGTTTTTTCTAGTAGGTGCTCTCGTTATATCGATCATCCTTTTAATCGGATATGGACGTCGAATTTGCGTGACTGACCGTGAAATTAAACGAGCCGAATATTTGCGCGAGTTGACGGTCACAACCCTTCTCCTTCGATCGATCGATCGATCGATCGATCGATCGAGAATAAGCGAAAGAAAAGAGAGAGCACTCTTGTACTTTTCCTCGAATAGGAGTAACTTCGATGCGCGGTCAGGTAGGATCCTTTCCCGCATCTCTACGCATGTACCGATAAACAAACGCCACACTTTTGCCCCTCCCGTTTTTTCTTTTCTTTTTTTTTTTGTTTATTTCTATGGAATACTTTTATTAGACATAATTGTATCGAAGCGAAGCCGTGCTCGAGCGTGCCTGCAGCTTGCAACCAAGACGGGACGAATAACAGGGATTAAGCGCATCTGGTGACCGTGTCACCAGAGTGAGAGAGATGGAGGGAGAGACTCGTTCGCTTGACGAACAAAGACCGTGTTCGAGGAGAAAGCACGTGTGCGAGAGAGAGAGAGGGGGGGGGGACGATCGCGTCTTAAACGTGTGGGCGAGTCAAACTGGTTTTCACGTTCGCGTGTCCATGGAAAGAAAGAAGAAGAAGAAGAAGAAGAAGAAGAAGAAGAAGAAAGAAGGAGGAGGAAGGTCTTGGAAACGAAAAGCAAAAGCGAAGGCGACTTTCGTACGCGTCCTACGGTACTCCCCATGGCAACAACGCGAGTTGCTCTTTTTTTTAACGTGCATATTTGTGTACAACTCGCTCTCGGCCCTGTAATGTTTTTTCGCCACCGACGCCCATGCCGCCTCCGCTACTTCCGCCGACGATTCCGTGATATCGCACAAGCAAAGATACTACTTGCAACATCCAATGCTATTCGGATTTGACGAATTTTTCTACGTAATTCAAAGGAAGACGGGAGAGAGAGAGAGAGCGAGAGAGAGAGAGAATTACGACGAGACCCCATGGCAACGTCGAGACCGACACACGTGCAGCTTCCTCCTCCTTTCTTTTTTTCTTTTCATTTTTTATTACTTTCTCCGATTGGAAACTCCGACAATGAAGAAACAGTTGAAAATGTTCTTTTTTTAGATCCCTTTCTCGTTATTTATAAACCAAGGACGATTTGGTGGACGAATTTCTTTTGGTAGGAAGCTAAGTATTTGGTATTTGTCAAATCGAACACGATGGGTGTCTCAGGTGTGCGTCGGGATAGTTTGATTTGCCGTTCCCCTCGCGTTCGTTGTTCGCGAGGATTCTTCTTATCAGGAAACGCGCGCGTACCTTGGTATTCGATCACGATTTATAAAGAAATCTTAGATTCATAGGGCCTGAATAATGTAATGGCTAACGAAAATCCGATCTTGGTCTTTCTCCTTTTTCATGTACTTACGCGCATCAAAAAATCATGAGATCCAACAAGAACGCGTAAAGATTTCAACTCGATGCGATTTCCTTTGCTATTTCCGAATTAGCCATTTGACAGTTTTACTCGAGGTCGCAAGGTACATTTTTAGATACCTTATCGCGTTTCGTTTGAAATGCTCGAATCTAATGGCTTATCGCGTGTAAAGTCAAGGTCGGAATGGCGTCCGGGTTGCATGCCGGTAAAAGAATACCGATTCTTCGAATGACTCGTGCCATTTGACATTATTTTTGTCCGCGTTTCGAAATATGCAACGTCGTCGTATCGTTGCAGCAACGGCAAAAGTTCGTCATTAAGGAATAACGCTTATTCAGGATGAACGACTTGTAGGTTGAAGCGCCGGCAAATAGAGGCACTTCTCGCGGTCCGGCCAACAACGTTGCGATCCTAATCACTCGCCATTCAGCCTGCCCACTCTTGGAGGATCCCTTTCCCGAATAATGTCCCCCTTGAATTTCTCGGCATTGACGAATCAAACGAATCGAGATTGCGTCATCCGCGTGCAGATCTGCATCAATGCAGATTCGAGGAAAAATGAAAGTTTGAAAGGACGCTACCGTGCGTAGTCGC